AGGCCGAGGCAGGCAGATCACCTGATGTCAGGAGTTTGAAACTAGCCTGGCTAACCTGGCGAAACTCCATCTCTACTAAAAATACAGAAAAAAAAATTAACTTCGTGTGGTGGTGGGCACCTGTAATCCCAGCTACTCAGGAGGCTGAGGCAGGAGAATCACTTGAACCCAGGAGGTGGAGGTTGCAGTGAACCTAGATCATGCCACTGCATTGCAGCCTGGGCCTGGGAATCAAGAGCGAAACTCCGTCTCAAAAAAAAAGAATCTCAGAACTGTAATGGAACTGAAGGTATAGTCTATTCCTAGCATGAAGATAAACATTGGCTTGCATATTTAAGAGCTAAAAGAACTCATTTTGAATTTAGAAAATATCAGGTAGTTGACATAGAATATTCAGGTAATTTTGCCATTCCTTTTTTTATACCTTTCAGCTGTTTTTTTATGAACGCTGAATATGTTTTTATTATAAGCAGCACTGTCCAATAGAAATACAGTATTAAGTGAACCACAAAAGTGAGTCATAGGTACAATTTAAAATTTCTAGTAGAAATATTTTAAAAAGTAAAAAAGTGAAATTAATTATAGTAGTATATTTTATTTACCTCAATATATTCAAAATATTAACATGTAAGCAGTATAAAAAGCATTAATGAGATATTTTTATATCAGTTTTCATACGAAGTCTCCAAAATCTAGTGTCTCTTTTATACTTAGAACACATCTCAATTGATACTAAACACATTTTAAATACTCAATAGACACAGGTGGCAAGTGACTATCATATTGAACAGCTCAGTTACAGAGAGTGACTATTGTCATATAGATTAAATGATAAAGTGGAAGAATGGCAAAAATTGGCCCATCAGTGTCCAGCTCAAATCCCACTTCCTCATAGATGCCTCTCTGATCCCATCTGCAGGAAATGACATTTTCATACACAGAGCTTGTTATGAAACTTCCCTTTAACTTTTTCTGTGTTACTTTTAACATGCTGTCTTTGATTGTTATTACTGATGCACAAGTGCTAGCATCCCTATGCCATTTCCTTGAGGAATCTTTTAGTTTAAGAGTGGAGTTCCAAAGTTACTATACTATGTACCGAATAAAGTAGTATTTACTTTTATTTGTTCACAGTTTCTTCATTCCAGACCTCATATGGTTGTCTTCTAAAGCTATGCTTTAGAAGGCAATACACATATATACATGTGTATATTCAGTTTATCGATTATTTTACAAGGTGTGGTAGGCAGTATAGTATAATGGCCTTGGAATTCCTTGCTTTGAATTCTGCCTTCACTCCCTACTCTGAGACCTTGGGCAAATTTTTATCTTCTTTGGCTCTAGTCCTTCATCTGTCAAATGAAGATTATTTTTATTTCAACAAAATTGCTGTGAGAATTCAATATGATAATGCACTTGGCAAACACTCTGACATGCGAATTCCACGTTGTCAGATGTTTTGTCTACTTTGATCACTGTGATATACTATTACTGAGACCAATGTCTAACGCATAGAAGGAATCAATACATATTTTGATGAATAAAAGGTTGAATTTTTAGCTTTCCTTTGTTCTTCAATCACTTGCTCGGCTGTCTTTGATTCCTCCTATTCACTTATCCATCAATCTGTCGGCTATTTTGGCCATTTCTACCTCTGAAACAGCTTCTGAATGTGTCCACTTTTCTGCATCTCCTCTGCACTCCTCTTGTCATAGTCACTATCCTTTCTTATCAAGATCAGCAGCCTAGATGATGGATGATAGCATTTCCCCTCTTAACTGGTTTCTCTGTTTCCATTTGTGATTTCCTTACAATTCGTGTAAGGATTTTCATTGCTTTTCAAATAAAATCTATACTTGCCATAGTTTCCAAGACCTCACCTGATTGGATTTTTATCTAACTATCCAACTCACTCAGTTACTATGTCTCAGTCATATCTATCTCTCTCCTCCTCATACATGGCAAGCACATCCCCACTACAGGATTTTAACTCTTGACATTCACTTTACATGGGCATCTTGCCTCGAGTTTTGGTTAACCTTTTTCTGGCATTGAGTTCTCAGCTCAAATATCATCTCCTCATATCCTTCCCTGATTACCAAATCTAAATAAAACCCCTCTTAGTAGTCACTCTATTATTTAGCTGAGTTATCACATTCATTTGTTTATTTAGTTGCCTGTTATCGGGTGCCACAGGAGAAAGGTAAGCTTCCTACAATCAGAAGCCCTTTCTCTATTGTTTACACAATATCCCTAGTACCAAAATAATGCTAACCCCCTTTAATAGATGTTCAATAAATGATGAGTAAATAATACTTTATATACCTGGTGTTTCCATATATGCTTGGAGTGATTATAGAGAGAACATATCAATACTGAATATAGTTATCAGAAAAGGGTGGAACTTAAGATGACCTTTTAATAACAGGTATTATTGATGTTCATGGAAAAGAGGTGAGGATATTCTACACTAGCAAGGTCACAAAGTCAGGAATTAGTATTCTATTTGTCATTTGTAAATGTCATTCAATGAAACGGGCATCCTGAATAATAAATCACTCATGAAAAATTTCATCCTTTCCAGAATGGTTCAATTCATTGCTATATTCGGTCTAGGTATTCCATAGTGAAAAGCCTAAGCATTTTTAATATCAATTGTAAAAAATTTACATTTCTTAACCGTGCCTGTCTGTTCTAATTCTTATAGTTTGAGGCAAATGCCAAATGAAATGATCTTCTATGGGGTTAACTGAGGCCATAAAATCATTTGTTGTCAGTTAAATATATAGCCATACAATTACTTTTAAATGTATATGAGCACATTTTTGAGAGATGCAACTATGTATGTTACTAAGTGAAACTGATTTTAAGGAAACATATTAATATTTAAAGTTCAAAATATTATTATTGACCACATTATATCACTAATGGTTATCTGAGTCTTTCTTGGCCAGTGAGGTTATTTGTTAAATTTTAATGAATTAGGCAACAGTATCCTGGTTGCTTAGCAAAGTGCACTTGCATAATTGGGATCATTTCTCTAATCATTTAAAATTCATCATCACGTGCCTCTAAACTATGCTTTAAAAGTAGAAATAAAGCACAAATTACATTTCTATTAGGCGTGTGTATTCTATGTAATTTTTGGAAGAGATAGTCCTCTATTTTTTGAATTGCATTTTTAAAAATTTAGTCAAATACTTTTATCATTAGATCACTACAGTTTCTTTTCCTTCTATCCTTCAGTAATGTCTTAATGTGACTATGCCTGAATTTAGCACTTCATTAAGATTGTATTCTATGATTGCATGGTATTTTCTCCTATCATCCTTTATCATATCAGAAATTCTCAGCATTCTACACACTCCATGTGTCAGACAAGGTAGGTAATTATCAAGGACACCTTATGAATCAATAAGCAATGGTATGCTTCTAGACCTCAGGATTATCGTCTTCATTAATGAAGCACTTTTCCCACAGGACAGTGATAACTATGTCTGCTTAGGAAATTTGTTTGATTTCTACCACATAATAGCTGTTTTTCAAAACATGATAAAGTTAAAATAACTTATAAAATTGATGTATCTTTCTTTCCACTCTACAAACATGAAGTATGGAGTGAAGAAGAATAAAGATTGTAGCTTTTAATGGATTTAAAAAATCTCCAGGGTATTGGAATGATCAGATTACTCCACTGAAAATTTCCAAAGGCAATGCTCACTCTCAAAGCTTTAATGAATAATTCATAGACTTGGCCTAGGTTATGATGAAAGATGGGCCAGAAAGAAGTGCGAATTTATCATTTATTCACTAATTTATGCCACAAGAACTCAGAGTGCCATTTCTATTCCAGGTGTCTATTATTGCAGTTCTCTCTCATGTTGTTTTTTACTACTCCCCTGACTATACTGACTGGCTTTTGCTGACATCTGTTTAACAGTTCTTCAAACACTAGCTCTCTCCTGTGTCACATATGTGAGTTCTCTGGAGGACGTTGGGGTTATTTCTATTATCTGTCTCCTTGACGTGGCAGACCCAGGTCTGGATCAACATTTGTAACTCCTATTGGCTCTTTCCTCTGGCATCGTATCTTACTGAGTTTTGCAGCTAGGTCTGCATGCACAGTGACTAGCCTTCTTGGGTGGGGTGATGGTAAGATAATCCAAGCTTGATCACTCTCTGCGGTCATACTTGACCCGTGGGAGACTCTGGCATTTTTGTTCAGGCAAAGGTAGTTGTACAAATTGCTCCACAGAAACACTTTGTTCTGCTGTTTCTACTTTCCTTTTTCTTAGTAAGGAATAGGGGCAGAGAAGGAAATCTGCCTAAGTACCTGTCCAATTGAGAGATGTCAATCCCTCTAGCAGGCACTCTAGATTTATGGTAGTGATGCACATGGGGCCCTCCTCATTTAGCCGGAGTCAGAACGTGTGCAGAAGCACCCTATTTCCCATTCTCTGGGCAGCCAAAGAAAAGCCATGATATTCTCTGCTAGACCAGAAACTTGGGACTCCATTGATTTTTTTTCCTTCTCTTCCTATAGTCTTCTGTTTACATGGAGTTGAGAAAGTACATAGGAAGTACTACCATAATGATTAACTATCTCTAAAATATATTTATACATAATTTTTTTGTTTCAGATGTGCAGAAGAGTAAGGCCTACTCATTATGTAGTATATCTATTATATGTATATACATTTAAAATCAGTATTTCTGTTTTATGTGTGTGTGTATATATATATAGATATGTATATGAAATTTAAAAGCACTTGGAGACTATGGTCTTTTAGTGCATAAACTTCTAAGACAATCCACTATGCTTATTACTCTGTGAACTTCACTGAGTTATTCTGCCTCTACTAGCCCATAATTACTCCTTAGTGAACATAGGAAGGATCATAACAGCTAACTTGCAGTAGTAATTACTGTAAATATGATTATTACAGAGTTAGTGCTTTTTAAACTTTGGGAAATATAAATTTACCTTTCTCTTTCTCTAGATATCCTACTGGCTGCCACCTAGAAAGGAAAAGCTGATTAAGGTCATTGTTCATGGCAACAAAGCCAAAGTAAAAAATTTGACTCTGGGTGTGTACTACACATTTCAAGCGAAGACAGTTGAAAGCAAAGATTACAGTGTATCTGTTCTGAAAAAAGTGCCTACAAGTAAGGAAAGATCATAAATAGTGTTAGTTTTATAGTGCTGTAGCACTTGAAAGTGTCTTGACTGAACATGATTATAGTTGTTTTAAGACATAAAAGCTGATAAATGATGATGATCTGTGATTAAGAGAACTCAAAAAAGTATTTGTATATCTAGATATATTGAGAGCTACACAGAGTTTTAAAAAATAATCTGAAGCCAAAGTATGCATATATGAGTTTAGGTACATATTGTCATATATGTTACATACATGGAATGCATATGTGTACACATGTATATATATTATGCCATAATAATAAGAAAACACAATTCATTTTCTACTGACCTGAGGGCTAATAAACAGAGTACTTCTATTTTCTCTTTCCCCAAGTTTGTAAATTTATTGTAAATTGGTTTTGTAATGTTTTTGGGTGCAGTGAAGTAATAGTATTAGTTATCAACAGTTCTTGTGAAAATTTGCGAGGTTGCCTCTCTGTGGAGACTAAAGGATAATGCAAGTAGCAGCATTAGTTCCATTGATGAACAGATTGAAAATTCAGCAATTTAGGAATGGTAAAAACTTTATGTAACAAGAAAAGCCGTGTTTGGAAGTGCCCTTATTCCTAGCCCTCGCTCCCTCTCTAACTTACTCTCTTTCATCTTCATTCAGCATCTAGCTATCTGCTTGGTGGTAGCTAACACAATTCTGATCATGTCATATAAGGATATGTATGGCTACAAGCTCTCAAGAGGCACAAATCTAAAGGAATGACTTTATTATGAGTCATTTATGATTGACTAAGGAAAGATATTTGGGAGCTAGGGAGAATATTGTTGTTCCACTTAGATTAAAACCCATACATAATGTCTTATTTCTCTGTTCGCAGAGATAAACATATAGAATGTTATACATGAGTAAATTAAAGGACGGTTACATAGATATTTAAATTATAATATTAATTGTTTTTTTTTTTGCTAATAGATGTGTAATTTCTATTTACTTATAATTTACCTTTTCATTAGAACTATCTAGGATTTATGGCTTAACCTTGAAAGCTGCATATACTTCTTCAAATTTAATGTGGAATACAACAGAGACCAACTTTACTCATTATGAGGTTTATATATCAAACAGAACATTTGCAAAAGATTATCTTATTTGGGAAATGGTGACTGAACACACAGTTACAGATGTGACTCCTCGTGGAATGTATAACATCACGATACACAGAATAAGAGACAAACTTGGAGGATCTGGCACGTTTACCAGAGTTGTTGCAGGTATGCAAATTCTCTTTAGTGTTTAAGACATTCACATTTCTGTTATATATTGTGTTGTTCAAGATAAAATTTCAGTAGAGTTTTTTGAAATTTGAAAACATACACTCTATAGACTATTTCAGAGAATAAAAGTACTCGTTTTTGTGAGCTGTTCTGCAGACTTCTTTTTTTCCAAGATGAAGTTTCGCTCTTGTTGTCCAGGCTGGAGTGCAATGACACGATCTCGGCCCACTGCAACCTCTGCCTCCTGGATTCAAGTGATTCTCCTGTCTCAGGCTCCTGAGTAGCTGAGATTACAGGTGCACACCATGACACCCGACTAATTTTTGTATTTTTAGTAGAGTTGGGATTTCACCATGTTGATCAGGCTGGTATCGAACTCCTGACCTCAGGTGATCCACCCGCTTCAGCCTTCCACAGTGCTGGGAATAGGCGTGAGCCACTGCACCTGGCCTGTTCTGCAGATTTTTGAGATAACGTGAAATATAAATAGGACAAACATTATCTGACACACAGTAATCAATAAATGAAGTTAATGTTATATTGAGTTTCACTTCAAATTAGAGATAGCTAGTGGAATTATGTGGTATTTTTGGGGATCATCTATTCTCCTAAAAATTTGTTCTTTGTCTTTGACATTCTAATATGTGTTATACACATGAAAAAGCACAGTCTGTGATATCCACAGGATAGTAAAGAATACAAGCATGGAAACACATGTAGTATAAGTCAATGTGACAGGTTAAGCAATGGATGTCCAAAGTTACTGTGGTTGCATAGAAGAGAAAAAGATTAGCTCTATGGCCTCAATGGAGAAAGCTCTTTGGGGCTCGTAACATCTGTAAAAGGATTAGGAATTTGCTAATCAGATCGAGAGCATATAGGGTGCAAGGAAAGGAGGACTCACAGAGGTAAGGAACAGCCCATGCAAAATTATGGATGTGTAAATGAATATGGTATATTTTTAGAACTATAAGCAATTCAATATTGAAAGAGTTTATTGTTTTTTTAATATATAAAGAGAATAAAATCCTATCCTGAATAATTTAGAGAGTAATTTTTAAATTCAAAGAAAGCTGCGAAGCCTATGAATGTTTTAAATTTTTCAAAAAAGAACAAGATTGCAAGAGTAACACATGGGAATTACTCTTAAGTGATCTTTAAGGCTGTGGATTAGACAAACGACCCAAAGATCTCAGACATATGGTGATAACTCAGGGTATGGGTATTTATTATTTGGCTGTCAACACTTTCTTAGTTTCCTGTTTTTGCTATAGCAAATTATCACAAGATAGTGGCTTAAAACAACTCAATTTTATTATCTCATAGTTCTGTAGGTCATAAGTCCAATGTACTTCTCTCTGGTTGAATCAAGTTACTAGTAGGGCTGTGTTTCTTTTTGTAGGCTCTAGGAGAGAATAATTTCCTTGCTTATTCAAGTAGTTTACAGAATTCAATTCTTTGTGGTTGTAGAATGAGGTAATTATTTCCATGGTGGCTGTTAGCTGACAGTTCTTTCCAGTTTTTAGATGATGCCTCATTCCTTGATTTGTGATCCTTTTCCTGCCTCCAACAAAGGAGGGTTGACTGCCACTCAGGCTTCAAATTCCCTGTCTTTCCCCGCATCATATGTGACTCTTCTGCCTTCCTCTTTTACTTTTTTGGGCTGGCATGATGAGATTGGGCCTACCTGGATAATCCAGGTTGATCTCTATTTATATTTTTTAATCTTAATTCCATCTGCAAAGTGCCTTTTGCCATGTAACACAACATAGTCACAGTCCCAGGGTTTAGCATTGGGGCATCTTTTGTGGGGTTGGGCATTATTCTGCTTAACACATACGCTATTATTCTCCTAAATGTGATATATATGTGATAATGCAAAATAAGGAATGAGTTTGGAATTCATATGCCAGCTTTACTCCAGGATTTGACACTGGTTAGCTGAGTACTCCTAGGTAAGTTACCTCTTGTCTTCGGGTATCAAGTTTCTGAGAAATTTAAATTAGATGACCTCTGAGATTCTTTTTGGCTTTTAAACATTCTATTAACACTTTACACATTTTTGTTCTATTTATACAGATAATCTATGACTTACAATGCTTTAACTTATGATTTTTCTACTTTACAATGATGCAACACAATTTGTATTCAGTACACTCCTCAACTTACATTGGAGTTACATCTGATAAACCCATCATAAGTGGAAAATATTATCTATTTTGAATGGGATATAACCCCATTGTAAGGTGAGGAACATCTGTCTATATTAAACAGATATTATACATCTCACCTATTCCTAAAAAGCAAATATGTTAAATCATGTGTCAAATGTCTTTTTCTATAGAGCATTATGAAAGGTAAAGTATATGATCAAACATAGTGAAGTGGGATCCATTCTAGAAGTTTTAGTCTGTGGCAGGGTTTCTCAACCTCACCACTATTGACATTTTGGGCTGAGTGATTCCCCATTGTGAGGACATATCTTGTTAATTGTAGGATGTTTAGCAGCATCCCTGGCCTTAACTCACTAGATGCTGGTAGGATCCTCCCAATTGAGCCAATCAAAATTTTTTTTAGAAAATTGCAACCCGAATGCCCATCAATGATAGACTGGACAAGGAAAATGTGGCACATATACACCATAAAATACTACGCATCCATAAAAAATGAGTTCGTGTCCTTTGTAGGGACATGGATAAATCTGGAAACCATCATTTTCAGCAAACTGACACAAGAACAGAAAATCAAACACCGCATGTTCTCACTCATAGGTAGGTGTTGAACAATGAGAATACAGGGAGGGGAGCATCACATACTGGGGTCTTCTGGGGGGGGGGCAAAGGAGGGACATTGGTTGGGTGGGAAGGTTGGGGAGGGATAACATGGGGATAAATGCCAGATGTAGGTGATGGGGGGATGGAGGCAGCAAACCACATTGCCATGTGTGTACCTATGCAACAATCCTGCATGATCTGCACATGTACCCCAGAACCTGAAGTACAACTAAGAAAAAAAGTCAAAAACAAAAACAAAAACAAAAAAAGAAAATTGCTACAGCTCCCCCAAAATTTTGTTAGAAAATTGTTACAGGTCCTCCAAATTACAACTAGTGGTAAATGCAGATATATTTGGTTACATACAAAGATCAAATAGATCACTGAGCAAAGATTGAAGGAAAAATATAAAAAATTATTTTGTTTATACACAGGCAAAGGAAAGAGTATGGTTAGTGTGATGGCAGGATTTGCTCACTTAGAGAAAATTTTGTCAGAAGAAAAAGTGACCAAGGTGGTATCAATATCAAGAAAGTTTCAGAAAAGATACAGGATATTTGTTTTTATTTTACTTAAAGAGCACTTATGAAATAGTAAGAACTTGATGTTTTGGTTGCCTAGTGTGGTTTAGGTGATGGTTTGGGAGATTATATAAGTATTATAGGTAAGTAATTGAAGTCCCTGTTAGAATAGCACACTGACTTGAGAGACGAGTATAATAAAAGGAAATGGAAAAAGTTGGTAATCCAAGTTCCCTGGTGGAGGTCTCCAGAGCAGAAAAACATCTTGCTGTTTTAGTTTTTATAAAGAGAAGAGTGGTGACGATGGAGCAATACTTGGGGATCCATTTTGAGCAAAGCGTTGACTGAGTAGATATGAGGAAGGGGCTATGCTAAGAAATAAAAAACAAGTTAACAAGATGGCTTGACTAAGAGATGACCAGGGCTTTTAGAGAAAAATAGTGGAAATAGCAATCGACTATTAAGCATAGCTTACTTTTAGTACTTATTTCTTGCTATGTTCAAGGCAGTCTTCTAAGCACTTCACATGTATTATTTTATTCTCACAACTACGTGGGAGGTGTTATGATCTCCATATAGATGAGGCCAGTGAGGTACAGAGATGTTAACTATTTTGCCTAAAGTCTTGTTTATATGGCAGAGTCAGGATTTGAACCCAGTAATCCAACTCTAGGACCTGTGCCCAGTGTCTCTATTAAAAATAGATTTTTATGCCCTGGTGGCATCCAGTATAATGCTGACTTTTTGGAGGATGTTTATTTTATTTATAATTTATTTCTAGCCTATTTCTAAAATATGAGGAAGCTACAGGCACTTGATAAATATATATTGCCCTGGCATTGGACATACTTAGACTGAATCCCTTAAACCTTACTTAGAGGTCACTTTAAATAATAATCTTAGGCTTGAAAGAAAATTATAGATCATCCAATTTTGTAGTTGAATCTATTCTAAAATATTAATTCATTCATTTAGTATTTTAAAACCTGCTGTTATTTGTAAGCCACTGTGTGAAAGTTAGAGGAGCACACAGTTACCATAGTGATTGAAACTTGAAGACTTTGCCCCTGGGTCTAAATCCTGCCTCTACCATTTACCTGTTAGCTATGAGACTTGATGGAGTTACTTAAATTCTTTCTTCCTCAGTTTTCTCATTTTTAAATGTCGATAGTAGTATTTACAGTGTTGTTGCAAGTGTTACGTAAAACAATATGTAAAAGTGCTAAGCACAGTGCGTAGTGTATCATAAACTTACTAGGATTTAGTTCTTTTTATTTTGTATGTCTGCTGCTTGAATATTTCATTATCTGTCATAGTATATATTATGCCCAACCTATAATTTAATCACAGAAAAATTAAAATGTGAGATTCCAAACTTGTCAGATACAGTGTTAGTGCAGAGAAAATATAAAGTTAACGATGGTGATAAAGCTTTTAAAGTCTTAGCATTTTATTTAAAAATTTCTGCCCACTGTAGTCTTGCTTTCTTGATACCATTTTGATAGGTCTGACTCTTTTTGAATGTTCTGAGATATGTAAGATTTTGTATATATTGGATGTCTTCCCAACTCTATTAAGCTGTTTTCTGTGTAGACACAGACCATAGGATCATATTTCTCAGCTTCTCAAAATAAAATTTAGGTGAACTCACTGAAATGCCAAAGGAAATTTTAGGTAAATTCACTGAAATGCCAAGGGAAAATTTAAGAGATGCTATAGTGAGAGCTGTGCTAACATGTAGTGATTAGCAGTATGTGACTGTTTAACCTGGGAACATGCCGAGTCCGAATTCAGAGGTACTGTAAGTTTAAAATATATGTGAAATTTCAAAGAGTTACTATGAAAAAATTAATATAACCACCTCAATAATTTTATGGTAATTACATGGTAATAATGCTTTTGATATATTGGGTTAAATAAAATATATTACTACAATTCTTACATGTTCCTTTTTACTTTTTAAATGTGGCTACTAGAAAATTCAAAATTACATTGTGGGCTCACTTTATGGTTTTATTGCACAGTGGTGCTTTAGAGAATTACAAGATATATTAGCATATCTGAGGCTTCGAAATACCCTGCAATAAAGAAAGCAGCTTAAGAACTTATTTGACAAAGTGTTTTGATTAAAGAACATCTATTAAGCTCTAATGATACAGGGTTCTGAGGATTAATTTTTAGAAAATTACTGTCTGGAAGAAACATCTAATTAAACCTTGAATTCTTTTTGCTGGCCCTAATTAAATTGAATATGAAGTAATTTATTTTTTCCTCTTAAAACTCCAAACATTTCCACTTCATGATGTGATTTTTATTGGTTAGTAAGAATTAGGTCGAGAACAGTATTTTTGTTTTTTAGTTTCCTATCTTTTGAGAGATTAAATTCCATGGAAAATAAATTATGTATTTATTATGGAGTCTATTTTCAGTTAATTGAATCTTCTAGCTCTTAACCAGAAAGCTGCACTCTTCCATAATGATTTAAGCATGGCTGTGGCTCCTCTATCTTTTTCTGAGCCAAGCTTCCCTCCTTTTGGCCCAGACTACCATGATTTTTTACTAATTAGCTTCCTACTGCCATTTTTACCTCACTCCAATTTATATACCACATTTCAAAATTATATTTTTCCAAAAAACAAGCTCTGATGCTTTATGCTCTCCTGCTTAAAATTCTTCAGTGGCTTCCCATTGAATTTAGGTAATAAAAACCTTAAAACCTCTAGTATGACCTACAAGACCATCAGTCTGTTCCCCTTTCTTATTTGATCCCAGGAACTCAGTCTGGCTTTCCTCAGTTACTCCAATTTTTATTCAATTCCAGGACTTCCATACACTCTGCTTTTTGGAAAGGCCTTTACCAAACTCTTGTGAAGATTCCAGGCCTTCTCTCTTGATCAGATTGGTAATTGTCCAGACCAATATATTCTTTCTTCTCTTAGGGAGACACATTTCATTACTAGCCAAGGGTCATTCAGTACGTAATATTAAACCACAGTCCAGGAAACCGCATCCTGTTTTGCCACCATCCCAGTAACTAGCGCTTCACTTCTCATGTCTTCCTTTTCCTTCCAAAGTCTTATTCCATGTCTTCATTAGTTTCTTGTCTAAGACTTCATAGATACTACTTACTTTCTGGGGTCCCTGAAGAAATAATATTAACCTTCACACAAATCAGTAAATGTGAGTTAGAGTTGGTTAGACTGATCAGTCATGGTAGATTTTTGTCTATTTCAATGTAGCAGTTGAGGAGAATCAAGCTCTTTTCTCTCAATCTTGAGACTATAGAGGGCATAGGTCTGACAAAGAAATTCTACCCATCACAATCTGGGTATTTCTCTGAGCTTTTGCCTTTGGTTTACAGTATTCCTAGAGTTACCAGAAAAGTGTAGTGGACAATTTGCAGGTGATACCAAGAGAATGCTTGGAACTTTGAGAATGCTGGAGTAAACATTAATCAACTGATGTAAGCTTGGGTATGGCAGACAACATTGTGTTATAGTCATTAGAAGAATTTTTCAAAGGAGATAAAGAAAAACTATTTCAAAAACATTCTCCCTTGAAACACCAAGAAAGTGACCTATTATGTTAAGATTCCTGTTATATGCTATGTGCTCTATCAATTTTGTTAGAAAATATGCATTTTATTTTCTTATATCCATTTTCAAATCATCTCTGGCAGTGGTGTTTTAAAATGATAAATGAAGTTCAAAATTAATTCCAGCCTCCTTTCTCTTAGAAACAGTGTTAGATTGAATCTGCATCAGGTATGTTTTCACAAGCTTGGCTTCATAATCTCTCTTCCTCTCCCTATGTTGTTTGTCTGGAATCTGTACTAAGGATAAGACAGAGAGCAAACTTGACTCACTGGCAACCAATCAGAAGAACTTTATGTGAAAACTCCCTTCAAGGAGATACAGGCGGCATAAACAAAATTTTTGAAAAAGTAGAAGCAAACATAGAAAAATATGGTTGAAATGGCTAAAACAATTGATACTTATTTTATGACTGTATTTCATTTCTGATATGAAAACTTTTCTTTAGAGAAGCATCTAACCAAATGTTTATCAGATCAGCACTATAGGAAGGGAAAAAGACATTAAAAATTTTAGAAAGATAAAATAAAAATATTTATCAGAAATACTCTCCCTTAAAAAAATCTGAAAGATATTGCTTATATATTTTTCCAATTATCTTCTGTTTGGTAAATTTCCAAGTAATTGGATGAATAGTTTATATTTACTTTGTTTTAAAATTATTTAAAACATTTTTTATTGTACTTTAGGTTCTTTGGTACATGTGCAGATCATGCAGGATTGTTGCATGGGTACATACATGGCAATGTAGTTTGCTGCCTCCATCACCCCGTCACTATATCTGGCATTTCTCCCTATGTTATCCCTCCCCTACCCCCTGCGGTCCCTCCCCTAGTCCCCGAAAACAGACCCCAGTGTATGATGCTCCCCTCACTGTGTCCATGTGCTCTCATTGTTCCACACCCACTTATAAGTGAGAACATGCAGTGTTTGATTTTCTGTTCTTGTGTCAATTTGCTGAGAATAATAGTTTTAAAGCTTTTAGAAACAATCTGGTCAACCAACAGATTTTGGCATATAAGAACTATTCCAGAAACAGAAAATTAATTGTTACATTATTTCTGATAGTTACACCTAAAAACTAGATATTGTTAAACATTTACATGCCTAACACCCAAGTATTGTTAAAGATCATTTATTGTACTCAGTGATTTTTAACAACATGATTATTTTGGAACTCGAAACCTATACTATTGATTTTCTTTTCTATTTTTTTTTTGAAATTTTAGGAGAATAACTTTATTTTATTTATTTATTTTTTGAGAATAACTTTATTTTAAACCTCTGTTTTTCAATATCAGAACCAGATCAGCCTAGGAAACTTAAAGTCTTCAGTATTTCCACACATTCCTTTTCTCTGCACTGGAGACTACCCTCTGGTCATGTGGAAAGATATCAAGTGGATCTTGTTCCTGACAGTGGCTTTGTTACTATCAGAGATCTTGGAGGTGGAGAATATCAGGTATAGTTTTCATTATCGTACTTGCTGAGCCTAGTTGTATTTATATTTTGGTCCTAATAGAAAAGTTCTTTATGAAAATCCACTACAAAAACTTACTTCTTGTTGGGTTTTTGAAAGCATAAGTTGAAGACAAAAACATTGATGTCAAATTGATGAGAGTAAGTTTCAGCATCGGTGGACTGTTACCTTAGCAACATCTATGCTGCTTTTTTTTTTTTAAGTTCACCCTGAACTTACAGCCAGTCATCCAAGCGTTCATGAATAGTTTAACAAAGAAAAGGCAGAGCTATTGAGTAATACGGGCTCATTAATTGTGTACTTGCCAGAAGGATCTGTCTTTAAATCATTAATGCAGGCAACATTTCTCTCTAGAGCCATCAGTGTGATTCTACTGCCTGAAAAATGTAATAAAGATGGATTTTCTTATCATTTTTCTTTTACTTTTTATTGGGACTTCAGAGACACAGGTATTTCTTATATACTCTTTAAAAGCAAGTGTTAAGCCATGGGCTATAGATTTCTCAAGACTTGAATTTGTTCCTAGTGAACTAGGATGGATAGAAATGCTGACTTAGGCTGGGATAACACAGTATGTTTTATACATATTTATTTTAAAGTTATTTGGTAAGTAGTTATATAACAAATCTGTATTTTACAATAATATGAAACATTGTGATGTTATAAACAGTGCAGAGTTACATAGTGAAGTGTTAATTTTTTAAGTGTTAGATTTATTTTTAGCTCTCTTGCTTTCCAGAATTTTAATGCAATTATTTGTTTGTGGTGTTCTAGGATGATGTTTCCAATGTTGTTTCTGGGACTAGGTACGATATAACCATCTCTTCAATTTCTGCTACAACATACAGCTCACCTATGAGCAGAACAGTGACAACAAATGTAACAAGTGAGTATATGTTTTAAATTAGTTTTTAAGTAAAGTATTTGGAGTCAGTATAATTCTACTGTATGGAAATACTTATATTGGCAACATGTACATTAAATTCATGAAAACAGTGTAGAATAATTAAGCCAAAATGGAAACTTAAGAAAGTGATCTGCCTAGAACCTGCATTCTGCTGTTTCTTCAGCCTCCCTTACTTTCAAAGTGCAAAGATAATTACTCTATACTTGTTTGGGAAATGGATCAGAGAGACTGTTAATGCTAACATTTAAATAATAGAGAACCATGAAAATAAACTGGCTATATTTCCTCAGGAAGGATTATTCCATTTGTAAGATTGTTCTTGTTAGTTTTTCTGTGTAAGCCTTGAGTTAAGTGAATTTCTTTTAAAAATGATTTGGCATCAAAAGTGTATTTGGCATGTAGTATTTAGTAGCATTCCATTTTTTTACATTCTTATAAAAGAATGCTTTTGGTATTCCCCATAGCATTTTTTTTTATAGTAGCAGAGCTCTAGGGAGTATAAACTCATATTGCTCTTTGGAAACTTCAAATTTTACATTTGTAAATACTGTTATTACGTGTTTTTTTTTTGTGAAAATACCATAATTATTTGAGCTTTTAATAAAATGAGTTTTTAAAAAATAGAACCAGGGCCTCCAGTCTTCCTAGCCGGGGAAAGAGTCGGATCTGCTGGGATTCTTCTGTCTTGGAATACACCACCTAATCCAAATGGAAGAATTATATCCTACATTGTCAAATATAAGGAAGTTTGTCCATGGATGCAAACAGTATATACACAAGTTAGAGCAAAGCCAGACAGTCTGGAAGTTCTTCTTACTAATCTTAATCCTGGAACAACATATGAAATTAAGGTAATTATTTTGTATGTGACTACTTAGTATTGAAACATTTCATTCATTTTAAAAGCGTAAGAGGTTTTTCCCAACTTCTCAAGGCTTTACAGCTAAATACAGTCCACGACTGATGAACAGTGGTCAGAGTAAATGGCGTCACACCCACCTGGGATTTTAAAACTTGGTAAAATGTTATTGTCTCTTTTCATTTTAATTTTTATGTATATTTATATGTTACCTTTTTTATTTTTCCATGAATATTTTTGTATTTATATATATACATGTGTGAATATAATATAATACTCTAGAAAATAAAAATTATGTAAAGTTTAAGAAGGAAAGGTTAAATGCAAACAAGAGGCCAGGGTAGTTTGAATGTAGATATGTAAACCGTAGGATGTTACACAGTTATTAAAAATTGACTTGCAAATTTTATTCTCCAATCTCCTAGGAACCAAAGTAAAAAGGGAAATAAATCTGTTATACTATTTATGTATGAAAATTGTATACTAATTGCATAGGGGAGCTCAAATATTTTCTTTTATTTCTTTTTTTTTTTTTTTTTTTTTTTTTTTTTTTTTTTTTTTTTTTTTTTTTTTTTTTTTTTTGGTGCTTTAGTTTGGAAAGAAAGTCTTCGTTGAAGGATTAATAGCTGCAGGACTGGATTTTGTAAACTTCTTTCCATAACAGCTAAGGGTAAAATAATAAAACCAAACAGTCAAAATAATTTTGCCAGGTGTTGAGATATTATGGTCTAAGAACATGGCCTTGATCTATATATAAAATTTAGACTCCAAAGAAATATCTTGTTTTTTTTTTTTAATTTATTTTTGATTTGGGGGTATGTGTACAGGTTTGCTACATGGGTATATTGCTTAATGGTGGGGTTTGGGCTTCTAGTGTACCTGTCACTTAAATAGAAATCATTGTGCCCAATAGGTAATTTTTCAATCTTCACCTTCTCCCATCTTCCCCATTTTTGAAATCTCCAGTGTTTATTATTTCCATTATTATGCCCATGTATACTCATTTTTAGCTCCTACTTGTGAGAATGTATGTTATTTGATTTTCTGTTTTTGAGTTATTTCACTTAGGACATGTTCTCCAGCTCCATCCATGTTGCTGAAAAGAACATGATTTTTTTTTTTATACCTGCATAGTATGTTATGGTGTATATACATCCCACTTTCTTTATCCAATCAAACATTGATGGATACTTAGATTGATTCCATGACCTTGCTATTGTGATTAGTGCTGTGATAAACATGAGTGACGGTGTCTTTGCAATACCATGTTTTCTTTATTTCTTTGTTTTTTTTTTTTTTTTTGAGACAGAGTCTCACTCTGTCACCCAGGGTGGAGTGCAGTGGCACAATCTCAGCTCACTGCAACCTCTGCCTCCCGGGTTCAAGAGATTCTCCTGTCTCAGTCTCCCGAGTAGCTGGGATTACAGGCACCCGCAACCATGCCCTGCTAATTTTTTGTATTTTTACCATGTTTTCCTTTCCTTTGGATAGATACTTAATAGTGGGATTGCTGGGTTGAATGGCAGGTCTAGTTTTAGGTCTTTGAGAAATCTCCATACTGTTTCTCATAGAGGTTACATTTCCAGCAACAGCATATTAGTGTTTCCTTTTCTCTGCATCCACACTGCCATCTGTTTTTTTTTTTTTTTTTTTTTTTTTTTTTTTTGACTTTTTAATAATAGCCTTTCTGACTGGTATAAAATGACGTCTCATTGTGGTTTTAATTTACATTTCTTTGATAATTCTTAATGTTGATCATTTTTAATATACTTATTGGCCACTTGTATGTCTTCTTTTGAGAAATGTGTGTTTACGTTTTTTGCCCACTTTTTAATGGGATTTTTCTCTTTGTTGTATTGTTTGCATTCCGTATAGATTCTGAATATCTGTCCTTTGTTGAAGGCATAATTTGCAAATATTTTCTCCCATTCTGTGTGTTCTCTGTTTACTCTGTGAGTTATTTCCTTTGCTGCACAGAGCTTTTTAGTTTAATTAAGTCCCATTTAAGTCTATTTTAATTTTTGTTGCACTTGCTTTTGACGTCTCAGTCATAAATTGTCTAGTCCAATGTCCAGAAGAGATTCACCTAGTTTTTCTTCTAGGATTTTTATAGTTTCAAGTTTTATGTTTAAGTCCTTAATCCAGCATGAGTTAATTTTTGTGTGTGGTGAGACATAGGGATCCCGTTTTATTCTTTTGGATATGGCCAGCCAGTTTCCCCAGCACCTTTTATTGAACAGATATCCTTTCCTCATTTTTAAATTTTTGTCGACTTTGTTGAAGATCAGTTGGTTATACATATGTGGTTTTATTTCTGAGTTCTCTATTCTCTTCCATTAATGTATGTGTGCATTTTTGTACCAGTACTGTGCTATTTTAGTTACTATAGCTTTGCTGTATAATTTGAAGTAAGATAATGTGATGGCTCCAGATTTGTGTTTTTGCTTAGGATTGCTTTTATAATTGGGCTCTTTTATGGTTTCATATGAACTTTAGTATTGCTGTTCTAATTCTGTGAAAAATGACATTGGTAATTTCATAAGAATTGTGTTGAATCTGTAGACTGCTTTGGGTGGTATGGTGTGTTAATTCTTCCAATCCATGATCATGATTTGTTTGTGTCATCTATAATTTATTTCATGAGCGTTTTGTAGTTCTCTTTGTAGAGATTTTCACCTCCTTGGTAAAATGTATTCCTAGATCTTTTATTTTATTTTGTGGCTATTGCAAATGGATTTAATTCTTGATTTCATTCTAAGTCTGAATGTTACTGGTGTATAGAAATGCTACTTATTTTTATACACTGAATTTATATCCCAAAACTTCACTGGAAGTTGTTTATCAAGTCTATGATTATTATTTTGAAGCAGTCTTTGGGGTTTTCTAGATATACAATTATGTCATCAGTGAGCAAAGGTAGTATGGCTTCATGTTTTTCAATTTGAATGCCTTTTATTTCTTTCTCTTGCTTGATTGCTCTGGATAGGCCTTCCAATACTGTGTTGAATAGGAGTAGTGAGAGTAAACATCCTACATTTGTTCCATTTCTTAGGGGGAATGCTTTCAACTTTTTCCATTCAGTATCATGTTGGCTGTGGGTTTGTCATATTATGGCTCTTATTATTTTGACATATGTTCCTTTTATGCCTAGTTTGTTGAGGGTTTTTATCATGAAAGGATATTGAATTTAATCAAATGTTTTTTCTCCATCCATTGAGATAATCATATAACTAACAGGGTTGGGAGAAAAATATTGAAAAAAACTTTAAGTTTAATAAAAACGTAGAATATTTTTACTTACAAAACTCATAAAGGCTAAATTACTTAATTTAAACTTAATTTATTTTCTGAAAAAGTCACTAAGCTAAAGCTTTTAAAAACAGTTTTAGCTATCTCTGCACATTGTACTTTATAGAGTGTCTTTACAAATTATCTTTGATACTTTATGAAATAGAAAACTTGGTCAATTATTTTGAAAAACTTTAGCTTAGTGACTTTTTTCAAAAATGAATTGTTTAAATTAAACAATTTTGCCTTTATAAGTGAAAATATTTCATCTTTAAATTAAACTTGTAGTTTACTTTTGATTTTTCTTCCAACCTTGTTGTATATACATATCTGTTGTTGACATTTTGGATATTGGTTTGAACATTTCTAAAGAGCCACTTTTGCTAAGAATTGTGAACTCAATGTAGTTACTTTCAACAAACAGTTCTTGGACATTTACTATGTCTTTTGCATTTATAAAAATGTTTAGTCCTTTATGTAATTAATATGCAAAATTTAACATCATCTTATTTGAATACTACAGAAAGATGAGCTTATAAAAAGCAGGGCTAAGTTAGTTAGGTCATAGGAAAATGCTTCCAGTTAAGGGATATCTATGACATTTCTAAGGGATAATAAAGAATACAAATATCTTCTGGATCCTCCCTCAACATAACATAATATCTTCTTTAGGCCTTGAAAATAGTTAAATATAGAGAAGAAAATATACAAAACCTGTGTAAATATGGGATTTTATATAACTGAGATGTTCTTCCTAGAGGATAAGAAATATTGGGAGAGATTTTGCCATGAAGTTTTTCCTTACTGGAACTATGCCTATTTGCAGAATTAAGAACACGGTCAGAACTAGAAAGCAAATAGTAATAGTATGATTCCCACCATGAGAAAAGAAAGAAACAAATTCTGACCCATGTAGAAGTCAAAATAGATTATTGATGACTATTTTATGAAGAAAACATAGCTTAAAGAATAGGCAACCTTTTTCTGACATCTGAGTATCATATAATATAGGTATTTTGTGTCAACATGCACATATTCAGATTATTAATATGTCAATATATGCTATTGGGCATAATTAAAAATTTTTAATGTGCTATAAGAAACTATTTTTGATAGGAAGGTGATTTAGTCAGCCTAGTTCTGTTTAGATCTATTTTTATGGAGTTTGAATTTTTATTCCTTTGAATTCTCTTATTTAAGGTCTATTGGGAACCCCTTAGTCTCTGTTTCATCCCACATTTTATAAATCATTGTGTAACCTTTACTCTGTTCAAATAAATGTTAGTTATTGCAGAATTCCAAAGGATATTTGGCATGGTACATTTGATATCTTCAGTATAAGTCATGCTATGGGGAAAATCCTGTTAAGTATTTTACATATGCTATTTCATTTACTCCTCAGCATAATCCTATAACATAGATACGTTACTATTCCCATTTTAAAGACACAAAAAATGTTACTTACAACAGTTAAGTAAATTGCTTGAAGCTACTTATCTGAGAATTGGTGGAGCTACAGTTAAGCCAAGTTATGATTCCAGTCATGGCAATTACAAAAGCTTGAGTCTTAATTTCATTTATGATATTTTCTCTGTCTGTTCTAATCAATTGAAAGAGATTGTTGAAGTCAAATTTTTTTATCTTTAAAATTCTAGAATTTTTAGTTTAAATTATTAATTAAATCTACTTATTTTTAAAACAAGTTTTTGAGTATTTATTTGCCTGATTAGATTGTGAACTCTAAGGTACTGTATACATAGTCTCTTGCATTTGTTACAGAAATAGCTGTAGCATCTTTTATGTAGTGGATATAGTAGAGAAAGACTGAGCTTTTGAAATAAACCCAAGTGCGACTGGATTCTTGTTTTACCATTTATTCCTTTGTGACCTTGGGCAAGATATTTGACCTCTCTCCACCAGTTTTCTCATCTATAAAATTTTGACAATAATACTTTATAAGTTAATTATATGGATAGCTCCATATTTACCTTGTTTCATGACAGTATTACAAAAGTATCTTTGGCATTTATCTTATGGATAAGTCAAAGTTGTTTTTTAAATTTTAGATTCTCTTTTTTTCAGGGAGTAAAACATTTGAACACAATCTTTTTGCTTTGTTCTAGGTTGCTGCTGAAAACAGTGCTGGTATCGGAGTGTTTAGTGATCCATTTCTCTTCCAAACTGCAGAAAGTGGTAATTTTCCTGTCATTTATTTTAAATTGACCTAGTCATGAGTTTCTGTCATTTAAAATAAATAAGAATATAGGCTTGGTGCAGTGGCTCAGGCCTATAATCCCAGAACGTTGGGAGGCCAAGGTGGGCGGATCACAAGGTCAAGAGATGGAGGCCATCTTGAACAATATGGTGAAAACTTGTCTCTACTAAAAATATAAAAGTTAGCTGGGCGTGGTGACACGCACCTGTAGTCCCAGCTACCTGGGAGGCTGAGGCAGGATAATCACTTAAAACTGGGAGGCAGAGGTTGCAGTGAGCCAAGATTGTGCCACAGCACTCCAGCCTGGTGACAGAGTGAGACTTCGTCAAAATATATGTGTGTGTGTGTGTGTGTGTGTGTGTGTGTGTGTGTGTGTGTGCGCGTATAAACTGACACTAAAATGCATACAATTCTTATAGCATGGACACTCAATTAGTTTTAGAGTACTTTGGTATGGCTAATTTATTCATTGAAATATGTATTATTCTTTCTGATTATAAGAGTAGTAAATGTTATCTTACAAAACTTTGAAAAAACAAGAATAAAAAACCAAAATGAAAATTATCCACAGACTTATGAAAAACTCTTTTACCATTTTCTGGCTGGTCTATTTCCCCCATTAATATATATCTATGAGACTACACATTAACAAAAATTAGCTTGTGCTAGGTATGCAAGTTTATATCCTGCCTTTTCCTTTGAACATTAAGTCATAGGCATGTTATGACATAGACTTTTGGAAACATGGGTTTTAATGGTTATTATATTATTCCATAACATTTAGTCATTATCAAACCAATTTAAGATACCTCCATTCTTCCAGTGGCATAGAGGAAAAATCTTCATGTCACCTGTGGCTCTTCTCTCTCACAGTACACATCTAATCTAGCAGTAAATCTTACCAGCACAATCATCAAAGTGTATTTTGAATCTCACCCTCATTGCTAACATCCTATCCAACATTATTCCCAATAATAGTTGCATTTTGTTTTATTTTTATTAGAATGCAGCTGTCCTGAACTCCCTTAATTACTACCTTATATCATTGATATATCATTGATATATACCTTCCAAAGATCTTTCTTATGTAATTTATGTGACTATTATTTATAAATTATATTTTAGCATTTTTCTGTACGGTGTAAACTGAAATGCTGGTTATTTGGCATCTTAATATTAGGCATCTTTATTATCACTTATTTTTTTATCTCAGATGTTTTGTTTCATTTTGATTTCTTTCAAAAGTGACTTGTCACATATATTTTATATTCTGAATGATCTTGGTGTTTTTCTCAATCAGTTTTACATACATTACCATGAAGTTAATGGGCATAATTTCTCCTAATTTGAGCTTCATATTGGTTTCATGCCAACTAAAACAGAACTCAGATTATTATTTTTGTTACTCTATATAATCAATAAGTTATAGAAAAGCATAATGAAATTCTGAAGAAAGTTGATTTTGAGGGTTTTAAAAATTTTGAATACAGTAATAACAATCAGTTGGAGGGTATCACTTGATATTAGGCCCTAGGCATTTATAAACATTCCAGAAATGTGCTTTTTAGTGAAAATGGTGGACAATTGATTCAATTTGCTACTTTTTTCACATCTAATGAAACAGCGTTATTCCAAAATATTTAAGGAAATAAAAAGCTTATCCCAACTTTTTTGTGTATTCACAAACAACTATTGATTGAATTTTTTTTCATACTTATTTGAAGCATTTCATCAATGCATGTATTAGCCCAGGTCAATTAAATATATTTATAAAAGCCTTACACAAATAGATTTTATGCAGTGTATTGTATATTTAATTTCATATACCATGAAATTATATAAATGCAATTCTAAGTTTTATAACAAGATTTTTTCCTTCTCAATCCTTCTCTTCCCCAGCTCCAGGAAAAGTGGTGAATCTCACAGTTGAGGCCTACAACTCTTCAGCAGTAAACCTGATTTGGTATTTACCTCGGCAACCAAATGGCAAAATTACCAGCTTCAAGATTAGTGTCAAACATGCCAGAAGTGGAATAGTAGTGAAAGATGTCTCAATCAGAGTAGAGGACATTTTGACTGGGAAATTGCCAGAATGCAATGTAAGTATCACACAACACTTTCTATGTCTTGAAAATCGTAGATAAACATATTTTCACACTTCTAACATATAGATACTGTATTTTTACCCATCTTATTTGTTATTTGGTTACTTATGGTACCATGTTATATACAAAGTTTTATTAATTATTTGATTACTTACAGTATTATGCTATATGGAATTGGCCTTATTTAGGTAGAATATAGGAAAGGTTTGAGAATTCAAGAGTGAGAGATTAAAATCATTAGGGAGTTCTAAAAAGACTTCATAAAAGGAGTAGCATTTGTGATACACCATGGAGCATGGACAGAGAGAGATAGTGTGATGGGGGCATTCCAGGTGGAGGAGACTTTATAAAGCCCTGAGGTGGAAAAGTATAAGATATAATTGGAGAAAATATTTTACTTCCACGTGGCAGGAGGGAAGATTACATGTAGGGTAATAGTCGAGGTCAAACTTGCAGAGGTAGATTGTTTTTGTTGCACATATCTTTGGTAAAGAATTTGTTATTACTCTGGGCATTGATAATAAACCTCATAATAGTAATGCTTTACTACATAATAAGCATCATAATTTATTATATGATAAGCATAATGCTTTTCCTAAAATCATTTTTGCAATCTTTGCGTTGTTATTAATGAAAAAACTGTCACAGTTATTTTTGTTGTAAATACTTTATAAAAGTCTAAAAATATTTTTCTAATTAGGATATATTTCTAACACATGCACACACCTAACACGTGAGCTAGTGGCATGTTAGTACTTTAGAGTACTTATGAGAAAGAACGATCATTAACAGTAAGAAAGTGACCTATACTTGAACATTCACAAAAGTAAAATTATTTCAGCTCTTTGGCTCTTGCTCTGTTAACAGGTAGGTTAAAAATTCTTACAAATAATTTTGCTATAGTTTTACCTTTATTTTAAGCCACTTGAAATTCTATTCATAAACACTAAGGTACAAGGAATATGATAAATATATTCTCTTCTAAAATTGCAGACATAATGGGTACAATTAAAATCTAGCCAATTTGTCCATAACTTGCATGTTATATGTGTATATATAGCATAAAAGAAAAAGAAATGAATGATATGTTCTCATTCTCATGTTCACCAAGAAATACAACATAATTTCTTCATTGATATTATTTTACTTACTAGGAGAATAGTGAATCTTTTTTATGGAGTACAGCCAGCCCTTCTCCAGCACTTGGTAGAGTTACACCTCCATTGCGTACCACGTATTCATCAAGCACGATGGCACAGAATAAGATCAGCTCTGTGTGGAAAGAGCCTATCAGTTTTGTAGTGACTCACTTGAGACCTTATACGACATATCTTTTTGAAGTTTCAGCAGTTACAACTGAAGCAGGTTATATTGATAGTACGATTGTCAGAACACCGGAATCAGGTATGGTTCACTTTTTGTATATAAAAAGATTTAAATTATTTAGAGAATAATGTTTTATTTTATTCATATAGATATTTATTTTTAATATTCCTTACCTTCCAGTAACTTTTTTCGTTAATAATATACGATAGGCATCCCATCTGGGGTTCCTTCAAATTTCTATACTCTTTTATATTATAGTACAAATAAGTATTTAAAAGGAGAAAGAAGATTTGAAAGAAACAGTTCTTGAGCTACTAACCATGATCCTAATACGAGCTTTTATCCTTTATAATCTCAGCAATTTTTTGTAATCATCTTTGCTGTTCTAAATCATTGATAATTGTCTACACCCTTCTCTCACTGTTATTGCCATTATTAAAAGTGAAGATACCTGCAGTAGCAGAACAAACATGTGATTAACATTTCAGTATCAGATACAAGCAGTAGCTAAAATGTGTACCTATTTATATCCTATTTGCACTGTAGTTTCCTCATCTGAAAAATAGACAGTAGTAGTACCTTCCTTATGGTGGCAGTGTTAAAATTAAATGAGAATAATTAGATATTATTATTACTACTAAATTTTATGAGAACATATTTTCAGGTAAGGTATTCATATATTTGATTATGGTACTATATCAGTATTCATGTAAATATATGTATTTATTTATATATTTGATATAAAATTTCATGGCTATTGATATAGTCCCATTATATATAGGTATGTATTATATGCATGATACATAACTAATATCTAATATCAGTTATGTATCATGCATATAATACATAGTATCAGGCATTAGGTTGTAATTGCTAATTTCTGAAGTTATTGAAAATTATTGATAGGGTAATTTTACTGAAGCATTTTTTTTCTAATAACAAAGCTGTTTGCTTCATTTTTCATTTTATATGTTTGAATTGTTTTGTTAATTTAAATATCATCTTTGAATTATATCATTTTCTTCTTCCATACTCCTTATACAATAAAAAAATAATTTCATGAGGGTCATACAAGGTGAAATTTGGTAGACAGTAATTTTGTTTTGGAAAATATTTGGAATTGTTTTATTTCAATTAAAAGAAAGAATAAACTTCTATGAAAAACTGACTAATTTAAAATGTCATTATTATTTTTATATGTTACCAATACTACATTTGAATCCTCCAACTGTAGGTTATAAATTTCTTCTTAGAACAAAATACAAATATTGATACAAAAAGTAAAAATTATTGTCAATTTTTGAGGGCTATTTTCTTGAAACTTCTACCTGCATTAATAAGAGAGAAGGTGTTTATCAAGCCAGATATCCAGTCTTTGTTGCAATATATATATGTATATATATAAATGCAGGTATTAAATGTTTCTGGACAATGTAACTTGACAATAAATATATTACAATGAATATTAGCATGAAACTTGCACAGTGAAATAATATAAAGTATTAAATAAAATCAGTAATTGTTACAAATAAATTAATCTGATAATCCAGCTTGTGTTATTCACAAGTTTCAATTATATTCCATTTTTTTTATTTTTTAAGTTAAAAAAACTCTGCTTTTAAGTGCGATATTTTATTTTATTTCTCTGACTTTATGTTTTATTATGTGTATTTAATAGGGTGCTCTTTCATTTAAAACACATTATGTATTTATTTTCTATACTCATTTTAGTACCTGAAGGACCACCACAAAACTGTGTAACAGGCAACATCACAGGAAAGTCCTTTTCAATTTTATGGGACCCACCAACTATAGTAACAGGGAAATTTAGTTATAGAGTTGAACTATATGGACCTTCAGGTAAGTCTTAATTGGTTTTATGTTTGCCTTTTGGAGTAAGAATCATAAAATATGTTACCAATGTCAAACTCTTTTTAAAAATATCAGACTCTTTTTTAAAAGACCCTAAGATTAAAGCAAACAAAAGGAAAGTCATAAGAAAGGTGAGGTCCTTTGATTTTTTAATTTAAAATAATAAATGAGTATAAGAATGACAAAACACTATTCATGTTCCACATTTCATGTGAAGCACATGAAAAAACTAGTGATAAATCCTCAAGACCAAAGTGTTAGTGGAGTTACACATCTTCAAATATTTGAACAAGAAGACCTTGGCTTTCATTCATCAAGAACAATGGACTTTGACTATATTAAATCAGATTTCTATTTACTGCTAGGAACCCATTTTTAAAAAATAATTATAAAGAGCTCTCTAAAAATAACATGGAAAATCTCTGTGTCTTCTGCTGTATTTTGCTGTGGACCTAAAACTGCTTTAAAAAAGAAAACATATTAAAAATTTTGGGCAGCTTTATGAAGTGGCAAGTTCTCCATCTTTGTAAGGAAGCAGGACCTGGGCATACACTTGTCAGAGATATTTTGAGAGGTTCAAATATTATATTTTTATGTAATATAATAATATAATATTTTATGTAAAGTCTAATATAATATTTATGTGAATTATGTGAAGTCTAAGATTCTGTCCTGATTGAGATCCTATGGTTCTATGAAAGAAATTTTATTCTAACAATGATTAAATAACATAAAGCTATATAGTATCATTTATTTGGGAGCATCAAAAAAGATACAGAGTTCCAACTATTTTATTTTGCAATTTCTGTGATATGAATCACTCATCACCATCATGAATAGCCTTTGCCTTTCATCCCAAGTAACTCATGCTCTTAAAATTCTGAATTTTTTTTACTTCCTAAAAAAGATAATTGCCTCCACTCACCCATCCAGTACACAGAAACAGACATGGATACACAGCTACGTCTTTTCTATCCAATATTATTGTTCAATACTTATCTGAGGTACTCTTTCATTTGTGAGGCTGGCTGATAAATCAAGTGAGAGGCATTTAGCAACGTTTACATTTAGTAACATGGGACTGATCACATGCTTCCAGTATGGTGGAGCATGTAGGGTAAATACCTAATTGAATTAGTTTAAGAGTAAATGGGAGAAGATTGCTGGAACAGGGGGTGTAGAAACTCGTTTGAGTTTAGCTGCAAAGCAAAGCAGCGAATAGAGAGCAAGGGTGGGGATAAGTGGAGTCAACAGGTTTCTTTTCAGTAAGAACATATAAAGCATGTTTGTTTGCTGATGGAAATGAGGAAAATAAGGAAAATGTTAATGATGTAAGAAAAAGGAGAATTACTGGAAAGGTGTCTGTGTAGGCAGAAGGTGAGATCTTTTTCTCAAATGTAGTGATTGGTTTGAGATAAAAATACAGATAATTTGTCCACAGTAACAGATAATTTGTCCATAATTTGTTCTTATACATTGTAAGGCAGAGTATATGGGTATAGATGCTGGTAAATACATAGTTGTGTTGGTGGTAGCCTGTGGCAAATATTTTCTAATTGGTTTACTTTTTTTAGTGTAATGGGAAGCAAGACCATTAGCTGGGAGTGAAGATAGGGCAGAAGATATTAGAGGTCTGAGCAGAGAAGATAAGTGTAAGATAATCATTCAGAAGAGTAGAGTGATTGGACCATTGACTATGTAAGTTGAGTAAGATTCCAGGCACCAGGTAGGGCTTGTTTGAGGTTTGGCTACAAATAAAGTGGTATCAGTTAATGGTTTTCTGAGGTTCTCCAGCTCCCTTCAAGAAGAGAAGGGCAAGGGGTTGGAGGCATGTGTAAGGCAGTGATTATAATTGAAATTGACACCAAAGCTGGATAAAGAGGGGAAATCAAGTGGCGAGGGGTCAAATAAAACAAAAATAAAATAGGTGATTAAATCAATGGATTGTTGATTTCAGTGAATTTAAAGAATTATCAGTTTAGGATTCTAGAGGAAATGTAAAGGACATAGGAAAAAGTGGTTATAAAAAGGTGCATGAAACTGACATTCTTAATGATATGCCATAACTGATGTTAGTAATGTCTAAGCTATGATCTTGAGGGAGTGGCTGAAATTTTAGAAAACTAGATTATTTAAGGAAATATCTAAGCAATTTAAGGGCTATCTCTCAGGATATTAAAATCAGCACAAATTAAGATGGTAGCCTTGAACCAAAAGCTAAACCATGGGAGTAAATGACCCTTGGATTAGTAGATTACAACTGTGAGGCCTAGTGGATGTCATTGGTAACATAGAATTTAAAGCTGTGGGCTTTTATAAGGAGGGAGGGAGATTAGTGAATAAAATGGAGCAATGAGGAGCAAAGACAACGACTACCATACTGAAAGGCCTGGTTACTTGAGAGCTGTGTGGCAAAAATAGACTGCCACCATTTGAGGTGGCTGTAGGGGAACAAAAGCAGTGTTCTTAGGAAAGAGCCAGTTTGCAGTTAGAGCAAGAAGGTAAAGGAAACATTCAAAGCAAAGTTGAAGATTTAAAGAATTGTGGTGACAGACTAAGGAATTTTGTTCAGAAGCTAAACTAGAAATATTTCCTAAAAATATCCTCTTAAGAAGATAATGACATTATTTAGGATTTTAATTGAATAAATTTGAGTTTGAAATCTGGTCACTTTTGGAATTGATAAAATTTGATGTTTCCCCTTTCAATATGTCAAAAATAACTTGGTAATTCAAAAGGGCTCTTTGATTAAATAAAAATAATTTTAAGCACTGGAACATTTTCATGTTCTTTCATTTGTTTTCATTAAATTGATATCAGTGTACTACTAAGCCACATGTTTAAAATATATCCAGTTTTGATATTATAATAACAAATTTTAGTGCACAACTTAACACTTGAATTGTTGTCTTGGTTCTGTACTTAAATGTGAAAATGATTGCATGCTTGATAAAAAATAATCCATAGGTATCTTCTACTTTTATAGGTCGCATTTTGGATAACAGCACAAAGGACCTTAAGTATGCATTCACTACCCTAACACCATTTACAATGTATGACATCTATATTGCGGCTGAAACCAGTGCAGGGATTGGACCCAAGTCAAATCTTTCAGTATTTACGCCACCAGATGGTAAGAACATAGGGAATGAATGAAATATTTTTGGTATGCTTATGAATGTCATTGAATAGTAAAACATGATATTAGAAGCAGTTTGTTTTATATTTACTTAAATCATGCTATTTCCTTATTAAATTACTACCTAATTCATTCTGAACATGTGTTCTCCAGAACATTAAACTCATAGCATGCTTCATAGTAATAGGGACCTAAGATCAGGCAAGGTTAGGAAATATCATATATAGTATTGGCCTGTTAGAGATTCACAATAAAATTTAGCATAACCTCAAGAAGTTGTAAGATAAACACATTTAGTATTGTTTAACTACATTTTTAAAAGTGGAATCTATTTTTTTCTCACAAACTATTATTCAGAGGAATTCCTATATTCCCAATGCTTACAACAAAATATGTTTATAATCAAAACAGTATTCTAAGCAAGTGAAGATTCTGAGTGGTTGCATGATACAGATTTACCAGCATGTACTGAAATTATGAAAATAGTATTTTTCTTCAGTAAACTTCCTTATATGTATTCATTAAATATCATTGTTTTAGGTGAACTATACTTAAAAAAAAAAGTTTCTGTACTATTTCACAACATATTTTTCTGGCCTACCCTGAACTTGTTAAATGTCTTCATTTCTACTTAGGGATTGTAATTATGGACAAAAATTAACAGTAACTTCTTATAACATATTAACATTTGGAAAAGTTTCCAGCCTTCATTTGTGTGGTAGCTAACATATAGTAACTTATAAATGAAATATACATATGTGTACACACACACATACACACACACACACACACACACACACACACACACGGAGACGTACTGGTCATACATTCATCATTCAAGTATTTGACCATTAGAGGGCAGTAAGTATTAGGAAATTTTGTACTTCTCCCCTTTAAAGCGACAATCATTGACATTTTGTTGGAAGAACATAAATGTTATGTTTTATCTATTTCAGATGAAAATCCTAACATATATATAGTTTCAGTATATGTATAAGAAAGTTATACATACTCATAAGGAAAATGTTCTTTTTTTTGTATTAAAATTTTACCATTGTGTTTCTATCAGAAGAATCTTAGCATTGCATAGCTCCTCCCTTAAATCTTAAATTTTATTCCATCTTCCCCATAAAAACCACTCTTAAACATTTCCTAGGAAGCTAAGAAGATTTATGGATACTTTCAAATAAAGCAGAGTCCTTGATTTTGGTCTTAATAGAGTTTTCTCAACCAACTCAATGTACCCACTGATTTCTATTCTTGTTCTACAATTAAATAAATCCTGAAATTTTGTCCTCTTTCAAGACCAGCTGACTTTGGGGCTTCTAAATAGAATCCATAACTCAATAAATAAATTTTTTTATTGTCATCATCATTGGACTATGGCATTTGACAAAAATAGAGAAATAGACAATGCATATGCCATGTACAATGCTGTGTTATTTGTCTTGGATATATTTTAAATTTTATTTGCCTTAATTTCTACATTTTTTATCCACAGAAGTAGAATTTTATGGTCATCGTTCAATATATTTCACAAGGCCTGTTTTTCACACCAAATCATTTCAAGTAGATGACCCCATTTGCCCTGTATAAAAGGCAATTTTAAACAGTTTCATTCTTTTATCTTCCTGAGCCACTCCCTCTATAGACCACACCCTGGTGGCTCTTAGAGGGGCCTCCTGGCAACTGGTAGGCTCCACCAAAGGCAGAGTTGACATGGTTCTTATATCCTCATGTCAGCCTTTGTCCATGGAGTTCTCTGAGGACAGTTCAGCCTCAGGAGCTGCTTCAATGGAATACTCTGGCAAATGCAGTAAATGTAGCTTTCTGCTTCTGGTACCACTACTTATTCCTGGTTCCACTATTTAAAACTTTGAAATAAATGGAACTTTAAACTAAGAACAAACTAATAACTCATTAGAACTATCTACTTTCAATTAAAAAAAATGGTTTCTTAATTTTAGTTTATCCTTTTAATTTATTAATACAACAGGGTTCTTAGTATTCTTTTTTTTGAGACAGAGAGAGAGTCTCACTCTCTGTCACCAGGCTCTAGGCTGGAGTGCAATGGCACAATCTCGGCTCACTGCAGCCTCTGCCTCCCGGGTTCAAGCAATTCTCCTGCCTCAGCCTCCCAAGTAGTTGGGACTACAGGCGTGCGACCACCACGCCCAGCTACCTTTTGTATTTTTAGTAGAGACGGGGTTTCACCATGTTGGCCAGGATGGTCTCGATCTCTTGACCTTGTGATCCACCCGCCTTGGCCTCCCAAAGTGCTGGGATTACAGGCNCAACCTCTGCCTCCTGGGTTCAGGCAATTCTCCTGCCTCAGCCTCCTGAGTAGCTGGGATTACAGGCACGCACCACCATGCCCAGCTAATTTTTTGTATTTTTAGTAGAGACAGGGGTTTCACCATGTTGGCCAGGATGGTCTCGATCTCTTGACCTTGTGATCCACCCGCCTTGGCCTCCCAAAGTGCTGGGATTACAGGCTTGAGCCACCGCGCCCGGCCGGTTCTTAGTATTCTAGTTAAAGTTACTTTATTTTCCTCTCCATATTTAAAGGCAGTCTATTGTCTATATAATAAATAATTAGGACTAGCTTGCTTCTTTTAAATTACCTTTTAAAACAATTGGTGTGCTTATAAATCTTCAGATACAAATAGGAGAATGTTACATTGACCTCTTATGGAGAACGTTTTGTGCTATTACATTACGGTGGAGTTGATTTCATTACCGCTAGGGATGTTATGGTCCATAGTCTACTTTAAAAGAAAATCAGCATCCTATTGTTTTAGCAGTTATCTTATATATTTCCTAAGGCATCTATATGTCCCTTAATATTTTGATGAGTAGACTTCTACATAGGCATGAAAATAGATGATTTTGGAAAAAAAAAGATAATAATCTCCAAGGCTATAAAATATCATAGAATTGCCTATTCCAAAATCAAATAATGCTGATGGATGCAACAAAGGCATTCTTCTAATTTGTGTGGATGGTAAAAAAAAAAAAAAAAGCAAACTTTAATGCTTCAATATTATCTAGTAACTTTTCTGTCAGGGTGGTTTAGCATGACAATTTCTTAAAAGTAGACAAATTTCCGAGACTCTTGTTTGCTCTCTCCTAAAAGACATGGGAGTGAAGACATTTGTCCTAAGTGATTTAAACTTGTTACTCTCTGCAAATAGTAGTACAATCTTTGTAAGAAAATCACCGAGAACCCGCCAACTTTGTGTTTTCAGGATTTGCAATGGCTTTAATTTTTAATATAGGCTTTTCAAAATGTTCTTCTAAAGAAAGCTTAATTTGCTAGATAATGGCAAAAATGATCTTAATGTATTTTCTTTTACCTCAGTGCTGTTTGTCTCTATTTTATTTCTTCTCATAGTTTTTTATTTGAACACCTCAAACCATTTGGAATATATTTTGATAAATCATATGCTACTATGTTTCTAATGTATTAGTAAAATTTAAACCCGAGAGTGATTCTTAGGTAGTGCATGTATGTAGCACCTTCAGAATTAAAATTATTTTGGCATTATCTAGAAAATTCACCATTGAGCATTAATTTTGAAGTTGGAAACAAATGACATTGAGGTAAAGAAAATATGAGATTTTTTTAACGAAATGTCTAACATTTCTCATTTATTAGTAAAATTTGCAAATGTATTGAGTTGAGAATGACTCTTAGGTAGTCCCTGTGGATACCTTCAAAACTGACGCTGAATCATATGATTACCTTGTGTGTTTGATTTTCTTTAGTTAATTTTGTATCAATATTAAAGGAGTCTTCTCTAGTTTCCTCATAAGAATTTGTGGCCTAACAAACCAAGTATCTTTTTAAAGACAAGATATAATGCTGTGTACTCCATTTCCTTTATCCCCCAAGCTTTTTATAAATGGGGAATAAAGGATAAGTTTATGGTAATTATTTTTATGAAAGTCTGAGATACATTTTAAAGATAATATAGAACAACTTAATCTCTACCTGGATTGTAATTTTTGGCATTAAGTATCATGGGACAATACTTACTAAGTTATATTGAAAAATATATTCTACTTAAAAGATAAATAGTGTCTGCCACTACTCTTGGGTTTTACTAGAAAACAAGAGACAGTAAAATATATATATTTTTCTACTGTCCTGCATAATATTTGATATCTAACATATTAATGTGTTGCATTGACTTGAACTGATCATCTCACTTATTTTTCAATAGGCAGGGTTTAGTTGCCTGATTCATATGATCAGTGTAGTCATTAAGCTGTTTTTTTTTCAGTTCAGATTCTACATCAGTTCAAATTAAATGGAAAAAATGCCAGATCTCTTCTGTGACTTACATTATGCAATTCAGATTAATATTTTGTCTGCATAGATACTGTAAAATAAAATTTTAAAGAAAGATGGAATGGGAGCTTTGCTATTTAAATAGCCATATTATTTTACACCACACAATTAATTGGAAAGTTTCCCCAACCTTGAAAAATGCATATTGGTAAATATGATAATACAAACATTAACTCTAGGTACAATATATTTTAATGAAGGAAAACTCATACAAGAGGTGACCTGTGCAAAGGCTTTATCTGTTTTAATTTCTTTCTCTGTCCTCAAGTGTCTAGAACAGTGATCATATGAAGAATGCCCACTGTGTTGAATGATGAATGAATGGCTCAACAATTGTCACAATATGTAGAGAGTCTTTACAGGTTACTTCATGAAGACAAAGGCAACACTAATCTATTGGATGAAAACTTCATATAGTTATAGTTTACTATAAAGCCAACTTAAGCATAATTATGTTTGCTCATTGTAAATAACATATATAGGAGTTGTAAAATTATTTTTCAATTCCTTTCTTTTGTCTTAAAAAGGAAGGAGGTCATTTTTCTTTGTTCTCTTTTAAGACCATATGCCTGTCTTCTAATTAGAATTTGCCAAACCTATACCACTGCCAAATAGCTTAGGGAAATTAATTTAAAGTGTAACAACAATCCGATTATAAGAGATCATAATTTTATGTCATTTCTCTTTCTTAAAAGTTTTAGAAATTTTCTTGAACTTTTTGTTCCTTATGGCAACCTGTAGAGTAATAGGAAAGCTGTAATTACCCTCATTTTATAGATAAGGAAAGTAGGGATTGGAGGGATAAATTAGTTGTTCATCAACACATGTCGAACTGTAAATAAAAAGGGACAAAAGGCCAGGGCATGTTTATTTTTGGCCCATTATTCCTGTGAAACTGGGAAGTTCCCTAGGTGTCACTCTTGGTGACTTCATAGCTAGATGTTGCTTTAAGTTCTTGGTGCTTTATTTTAAACCAATTGTTAGTTTGTTCCTATTTTTCTTTACCATTGCAATGAGTGAGGACACCTGAAATTTGAAAATAACATGATTATTTAAAAAATATCAGAAAAAATCAACTCTTCAAACAATTTCATGTAATAAATTAAAACAGTCTAATTTAACTTACCGACTACATTTCATTGCATTCAGAGTCTTCAGGATATTATTTTCAATCTGTTGTTATAATTTTAATGAAACCATCAAGGTTTCAATTGGGCATTAATCATCTCCAAATAGGCAGATTCTCAAGGAAATTATTTTTATTAATTGTTTCAAACAAATGTTATGACTTTTATTTTGGAAAATTATTTTGTTATTGTGTTCCTTATTTACATTTTGAGAATGTTTAGAAATTTAAATATCCATGTATTTAAAGACATTTAATTTTTAGTAAAATAAATTATTTTTGTCAATTTTCTTTCTCTCTCTCCCTTTTTTTTTGAGATGGAGTCTCACTCTTTCTCCCATTCTCCCAGGCTGGAGTGCAGTGGTGCTATCCCCACTCACTGCAACCTCCACCTCCTGGGTTCAAGAAATTCTCCTGCCTCAGCTTCCCAAGTAGCTGGGATTACAGGGACACACCACCATGCTTGGCTAACTTTTGTATTTTTAGTAGAGATGGGGTTTCACCATGTTGGTCAGGCTGGTCTCAAACTCCTGATCTCACATGATCTGCCCACCTTGGCCTCCCAAAGTGCTAGGATTACAGGCGTGAACCACCACTCCCAGCCTCATCTATTTTCTATAGAATTGTTTATATATCTTAAATTATGAGCTAAGAATTTAGGCACTTTTTCACTTGAAAATATATTTTTCAATTCCCCCTTTACTCTTTTCTTTCTTTAGTTCCAGGGGCAGTGTTTGATTTACAACTTGCAGAGGTAGAAGCCACACAAGTAAGAATTACTTGGAAGAAACCACGACAACCAAATGGAATTATTAACCAATACCGAGTGAAAGTGCTAGTTCCAGAGACAGGAATAATATTGGAAAATACCTTGCTCACAGGAAAGAATGAGGTATTGCATTTTTATTTCACTTATTGGTGAGCCCTTTCTGCTTGGTTTGGTTCTGGCTCTGTTAGTTTGGAAGATTTGCTAGCACTCACACATAAAATATTTGACAACTTACTAATTCAAAGTAAAGTAAATTTGGGGCATGTTGATAATCTAGCTAGATCATGTTTCATTTTAGGTCTTATATTATTAGTTAAGTGCTATGATTCTTTTTCACCATATGAACAATGTTAATTGTGCAATTAAACAGGACTAAAGGTATTTTCATAAATTAATATTGTTATTCTAAATTAATTAATGAATTATCTGGAAACTCTTGTTATGATTTAAGTACTCCTTCAAAGGCTGTGCTTGCAATTTATAACAGTTGCCAGTGAAAGGCACAGTCATTTCAGTAGCTGTTGTTTACAAATTTTCTGTTCTATTTGGTCTTGGGAAGCTAAATTTCAGAGCTGCCTTTTTTTTTTTTAAGTGCATTTGAATAAGAAATCACATTACTAAATAAAAGAAATTTAAGTTATTTCATAGGTTTAAAGTAAGAGGACCAGGATCTTTAGGCAATGTGCTTGCTTCTATTCATACTGAAAGTCTTTTTTTTTCCCCTTTTGTTTCTGTTAGGAAGTACAGGCAGCACTGATTTTTTTTTTTTTTCCGCTGTCTTTGTTCACCTCACCTCATCAACTATTCATCTGTGAGACCCTTTCAGCCTCCAGGTTAGTCATGTCCAGATACTGGCTGCTCCCTGGGGCACTCAAAGAAGAAACATCCTTAGGACCAGTGCAGCAATCACTGGGCCTTAAAGACAAACGTGATAGTTATTCAGCACCTGGCGTCTGCTGTTTTGTTTCAGAATTGCTGCTGCTTTTACCTGTGCTATTACTTTTCCCCACAATGCTGTCTCTCTATTTCTAGTGCCAGCCCTCCTCTATTTCTGGCACTTACCTGTACATGACAGTTGACCTTACCATGTGCTCAATGCACTGTGGCCACCCAGGACTTATCACTCCAAGTTGCTTACCATCTTTAACCCAGGGTTAAATTTTAATCCTATGTTGATTCCTTTCCTCAGTGCAAAAGATGTTGAATTATGCTTTCTGTGATACTCTAGTTGACAACTCAGGCAAAGGGCAAAAGCTTAACCCTTTGCTCCTGCTGAGAAGGTCTTAAATTAGATACTGAGCTTTCTTAAGACTAGATGACAGGTTTTCTACTTCTGCTAATAACATCTATTGAATGGGTGGCCACACCTGTTTTTCTATGAGGTTAAGAGGTTCTAGAAAGACTTTTTTTTGTTTTTTTGATTCTTTCTCTATCTGGTCTGGAATTCTGGTCACACAGTAGACAGAACATGAGCTTTGGAGAAATACAAATTTGGATTTAAATTATGATTTTATCTATCACTGGGCTATACAGCAAGTGGTTAAGAGTGTAAAACAGGTTTAAACTCCGATTCTGCCATTGCTACTTGTTTAACTTTGGGAAAGTTGGCCTGACCTCTTTGAACATCAGTTTCTTCTTCTTTAAGATAGTGATTATAAGTCCCTATAACAAAAGGTTAATAACAAGGATTTCTGGGTTAATGTGTGTAAAGAGCTTAGAACTGCACCTGGCATATAGTGAGTGCTGCACTAAATAGTTGTGACCTATTGTGATCATTAATCTTGGCATAGGATCATCCACCTTAATTGCCACCCAATATTTCTTCTCTTATCCTCTCTCAATAAAAGGAGGCATTATGCTTATTTTTATTTCTCTGATTTTATCTTTATTTATTAGATCAGACTCATTTCTGATATTTCTGCTTCCCCATGTAATTGGTGTTTGGGTTCACTTTTCAGGAGATTGATGTGGGGAGACCGATATGACAGAAGCTTAAAATCCAAATGGTCCTGGGTTCTTGGCCTGGCTCTGGCATGTTCTATGTCTATGACTTTGGACAAACCAACTTTTGGAGATTTGGTGCCTTCATTTTTATAATGGGGCTTATATAGTCACCTTATAGGGTTGGGAGTAAATGACATAAGAAAGACAACTTGTGGTTTAGGGTGTTCTTCATTTGTTATTCCTTCCTTTGACCTTGGTACCTCTCTCAGGATAAGGACTCTCTTTTCCCATTTCTATTGATCTTCTGAAAACGTAGCCTCCATCCCCCATCTCAAGAACTCTTAAAATCCTTGAAATCTTGTTAGAAGTCACCAGTGACCTCCCTAGTGTCCAATGCAAGGATTAATTAACATTTTTTTTTTGGAGATGGAGCCTCCCTCTGTCACCCAGGCTGGAGTGCAGTGCACAATCTCAGCTCACTGCAACCTCCACCTCCTGGGTTCAAGCAATTCTTCTGCCTCAGCCTCCCAAGTAGCTGGGACTATGGGTACATGCTACCACGCCCAGCTAAATTTTTGTATTTTAGTAGAGATGGGGTTTCACCATGTTGCCCAGGCTGGTCATGAACTCCTAAGCTCAGGCAATCCACCTGCCTCAGCCTCCCAAAGTGCTGGGATTACAGGTGTGAGCCACTGGGCTCAGCCAGATTAAATATTTTTAACCACCCTTGTGTTCTTATCTGCTTCAAAATCTATCCCTATGTCCCCCAATTTTCAGCTTTTGACACTATTCTTTCCTTAATACTTTCTACACTTTTATATACTGTGACATTGCAATCTTTTGGCTTTGTACAATTAAAAATGGAGAAAGTTAAAAAAGCTAACTCTCTATTTTTTAACTTTTTACTAGAGAGGTTCCACAGAGCTTTGGTTTCAGCTTTCTCATAACATTTTCTTTCGATGACCTCCCAGTTTCGATCACTGCTTCCTGTTTGTCTGACTTTTCTGCATTGCTTTCTACTCTGATCCTTCTCTCTGACAGTCTGGATTCCTAACTGCAGCCGTTTGTGGGAAGGTTCTGCCAGGGCTCATTACATCCAAATTAACTTCTCCCCGTAAAACAAAACAGAAATCTTTTCTGAGCTAATTGGAACTGGTTCATGATGGGAAGGAAGATGTGACACTGGAATGAGGGCAGAGATCTTGGGACAGTGATAATGGCCTGTGCAGGCTCCCACAGGACACACAGGAAGGTCTGTCCAGACAATTACTAGTTTCAATGTGTCCAAAATAAGGCCTGAAGAGAAACTGACTTGAGGTCTCAGTACCTGGGTTTAGAATTTTCGAATCCCTCTGACTGGATGTAATACAGACCTCTGACATGAAAGTCATTGTCTAAGAAACCATGGTCTAGAAGGCTTTGAAAGTGAGCACTGTGGCATTGAGATATATATATATATATCTGGTTTGTCTTTTTGGATAGTGGAACCATTATTCTCTCTGTCATAAAGGCTTGAAACCTTGGAGTCACTTCTGACTTAGACCCTTCTTAGCATTCAGTAGCCACTTAATGTTAAGGTCAGTTATTTCTACATCCAGAATGTGACTTGCCTGTCTTTCTTTTATTCTTGTGTCTCCCACTTCAGCTCAGGATCACACAGTCTCTTGCCTGGGCTACTGTTATCTCACTATATTAGTTTTCCGTTGTTCTATAACAATTTTCCACAAACTTAACATCTTAGAACAATTCATACTTATTATCTCACAGTTTCTTTGGGTCAGAAATCTAGATACAGCTTAGATGCGTTCTCCTCTTAGAGTCTCATAAGCCTGCAATTAAGGGACTAGCTGAGCTGTGTTCTCATCTGGAGGCTTGACTAGAGAAGAATCCATTTCCAGCCTCACTGAGTTTTTTGGCAGATTTTATTTCCTTTTGACTGTAGAACTGAGTGCCCTGGATTCTTGCTGGCTCTTGGCTGGAGACAAGCACCTCACTGTTTTTTTCGCATGTGGCCTTTTTCAACAAGGCCATTTACTTCATCAATCCAGTAAGCAGGGTCTGTATAATGTGATCATGGAGAGACATGCTATTCCCTTTGCCTTATTCTATTGGTTAGATACAAATCATGGGTCTCAACTAACTCAAGAGGAGGAGATTTTTTTTTTTTTTTTTTTCCCATTTATTTTATTGTATTTTAGGTTTTGGGGTACATGTGAAGAACATGCAAAATTGTTGCATAGGAACACACCTGGCAGTGTGATTTGCTGCCTTCCTCCCCATCACCTACATCTGGCATTTCTCCCCCTGCTATCCCCCCCCAGCTCCCCACCCCCCACCGTCCCTCCCCTATTTCCCCCCAACTGACCCCAGTGTGTAGTGCTCCCCTAAGAGGAGGAGATTTTTACAAAGTGGGAACAACAGGAGGTGGGGATAGTGGGTATCTACCTGAGAGACTCTGCAATACACCCCCCCAGCCTACTATTTTATATTTCAAACATCTATTAGAACAATCCTTCCAGATTTAAGTATATTATTTACATTATGATAACAGATGATAAAGATGTATATGTATTTAAGTAACCTAGCTCTTCACTATCATTGCAGAAAATCAATAGATTCTAAAACAAATGAGGGTTAACAGAGTAGTATAAGTGTATTATTTAGTGTTTTAGAAGTAAACACCGTAAGAACTGAAAACAGGAGTGGTTTAAAGTGTTGCTTCTGGGAAGTAAGAAGTAAGGAGGGCATAAACAGGGAATTGTTATTTTCATTATAAACCATTCATCATCATTTTTTGTAGCCATGTACATATATCATGATGAGTAAACTTAAAAATATAATATAACCCTTCTATGTTAGGCTTCATTTTGTCTCATTACCCTTACTAAAATTTTTTCAAGTGGCTCCTATGATCTATTTGTTTCTGAATAAATATGGATTATTTAAATAAGCTGAAATATGTATACGATTTTACTTTCAATATTTAAATAAATATTTGAAAAATACATTAGCAAATTGAGACTCAAGGTTTGAACTCTTTTATTTCAACTTCCACATATGTATATGTAAATCTCCTTTATATATCATTCACATCATTCCTAATAAATGATGTGAATCCAACATTAGCTGAGATATTTGTTGAACTGCTATAAGATAACTACCACTGCAAAAGTAGCTGCTATCCTATAAGCTTTGAAGTTTCTTTGTTATGGCCTCAGAAGCATCTACTTCTTAAGTAACCATGAAATTTTAGGCACTCTGTTAGGCACAGAAATCTACAGATGAATAAGAAACTACACTGTTCTTTATTTTGAACTGAAATATTTGTCTTCTAGTGTTCATCAGTTGGTCCTAACTCTCCTCTCTAGACCAACACAGTAGTCTATATTAAAATATAGAAGCATTTCTTAAGAATAAATAAAACATTTCATTAATACAATTCAGCAGACCTCCAGTGAGCCTAAACTTATAATAGAGTTTTTAAGAAAATAAAATCACATTTGCTATAGTGAAGATTATTACATGTAAAATCAAGTTGGTTTATTCAGGTGGATTAGGAATTTAACTCTGAGACTCCTAATTCTTTCACATAAATTCCAAGAATTCCTGGGCAGCATATGCAAGGCCTTTCATGTTGACAAATTGTGACATTCTCTAACTCAGTCGTTCTCAACCAGGGGCAATTTTGCTCTCCAAGAGACATTTGTTAATCTCTGAAGACATTTTCATTGTCACAACTGAGGTAGTTGGGGACCAGGGAAGCTGCTAAATATCCTACGGTGTACAGGACAGCCCCCACAATAGAAAATTATCTAATTCAGAATGTCAATAGTGCTGAGATAGAGAACCGTGTATTAAGTCAGTGAGTCGATAATTTTTATGTGTTGCAATGGGCTTTTTTCGCCCCTATTTCTTTCATTTCTACCACTGCTTCTCTCTGCCCCTTCCCATTACTCTCTTAAAATCCAAATTCTTTCCTATCATTTTTGCTTTTAATATTATTACTTTTTTTTCATTAGAAAAACCTAATTAAGATCTAATCTAAGGTCTTTTCTTTAGAGGTTAAGATTGAGAAATATTCACGACACGACACACTTAGCAATAGCATTCTGGGTTGTTACAAAGCTAATGTTCAAATTATTGCCCTAGTCGTGGAGGGCTTTTCTAATGTCAGAATACCAGAATTTGGGAACCATTCACATAGTTAAAAGCATTCAGGTCAACTCTCACTTTGAAATGGCAGTTTGTCAGCAGAGATGCTTAACATATGTAATTGATGGGATGCTATGGTTTAACTCTCAATAATTTGTCTGACATGGGATAGAAAATATTGAGAGATTTAATGCAAAACCATAGTTCAGGGGGAATTTCTTTGTACTACCTCTCTATAGTTCATTCTACAGTGCTTTGTGCACAGTAGATTTTCAAAGGGTGACTGATTGATAGTGGAAACAGCTGTGTGGTTTGGGCATAGAGTATTGACTGCACACCAGAGCTTCTCTGAGTTATGTGCTTGTGATTCCTGCCCTCCCTAATTTCCCTGTGGAGGCAGCACTGAAGTGAGCTGTTGTAAGATAGAAGACCTTTGCTTTGTCCCATACAAGGACATAGGAACAAACCCATATAGAGTTCCCTATCCATAGTTCTTTATCACAACTTTTAAAAAGTAGTTTTTATGGGAAACCTGCTGCTTTTCATGACAACACTTTTCTGGCTAGAGTTGCAACAAGATTTAGACAATTGCATTTTGTAAATATTTGGAGGACTGAAGATTTTTTTGACTTAATTTCTCTATTATTTTATTTTTCAGAAGAGTTAGTATTTAAGTAACTTGCCTTTGTAGATAGTTAACTGAACTCCCATAAAATTTCTTGCTTTACTGAACTTAGTTCTGAACATCTACTTTTCTTTCTTTCTTTCTTTCTTTCTTTTCTTTTCTTTTTTTTTTTGTAAATTCTAAGTGCTTTGATGTTCCTAAGGCCTAGAAAACCTGTTTTTGGCTCTCTGAGTGAAGACAACTCCAAAACATCTAAGATAATTAAAAGACAGATAAGCCAAAACTTATAAACAACTGAAACCTATATTATGAATTAATTATAAACTCAGGGTAAAAGAGCATGAAATTGATAATGATAGAATAATTTTTTTAAAAGAAGCGGTTTGGTGGTAAGTTTTGAAGCAGAACTTGAAAAAGAATTAGTAAAAGAGAGTAGATTTTTCAGTATAGTCTTTTTCCAAAACTATGTTATTTTGGAAAATTTCACACAGGTTTAAAAATAGAGAAAAGAGCCTAATAAGCCTCCATATACCTACCACCTGGATTCAGTAATCATCAGTAGGCTACCATTCTTGCTTCAAATTTTTATATAAATTCCAGACTTAACATCATTTTGTTCCTATATACCTAAGCACGAATCTCTAAAAAATCATGGACATTTCCATCCACAAAATAATGCCATGACCACAATGAACAAAATTACTAATATCATCCTGGTATCATTTAACACCTAGACCACACTCAGATTTCCTTGATTATCTTCAAATCCTATATTGATTAGGTATATTCTAATTAGACTCCAAAGTTCACACATTGTACTTGTCTGTTCAGTCTCTTAAAGCAACATTTTCTTTGATTAATATGTATTTCCAAAGTCAACATTCTATTATATTTCCAATATAATTTGGCCAAAACACCTTTTCCCCATTTTGTTTCAATCAATTATGCTAGTAGGAATAGAAAACAGAGAATCACCTTGCTAGCCAACAAAAACCTCTACCATATTCATCCATAATCTGTTCCTGATGTTTTCTCCTCAGTATTTGCCATTTTGGTGAACTTGACATGTGTGAATTACATTATAAGATCTAGGAACAATTACAGTTACTTTAAGTATTCCTTAGGTCCAGAGTCTTGGACAGGTATGCCATGAATCCGGTGTGAAAACTATTAATATTATCATGTAGTTTTATTCTGGTATGTAACTTCACTCTATTATAAACTACTATCATTGATGTACATCAAGCAGGCATGTAGACTTCTCACACATGGTATACAAATGAGGTCAGGTAATTAGAGAAGCAAAACACATCTAATACATCAGTATGCCTAGAACACTTACCATCTGAGGGTGAGCAGTTACAATATTTCAGTCATGAAACCTTTGCATGAGGATGTCTTATCTTACCAAAAAGAAACTGATTCAAGTCAGAAACAAAATCTGTTTCTTTCCAAAATACAGTATTGTTCTCTTAGGAAATACAGTGATCACAATGTGTTACAATGATGCAGGGTATTGGAAGCTGGAGAATGAAATTTTGGAATCTAAAGAAGACAGTGGTCATGGAAATGTGTTATCTTTTATAACAACATGATTTCAAAGTTATAAGTTTTTTAAACTAATATTTAAGTCATGAAGTGTAATTGTTACAGTCTTTTTAAAATATCTACTTTTAATTACAGTATATAAATGACCCTATGGCTCCAGAAATTGTGAACATAGTAGAGCCAATGGTAGGATTATATGAGGGTTCAGCAGAGATGTCGTCTGACCTTCACTCACTTGCTACATTTATATATAACAATCATCCAGATAATAACTTTCCCGCAAGGAATAATGCTGAAGACCAGAATTCACCAGTTGGTAGGTAGAATTTTGATTTTCTGTAATGTGCGTTTAACCCACCAGTGCTAGCTAGCACAGAAATGAACCTTAGTTTAGAGTTCAGACATATTATTAATGGTCCATGGGCTGGAGTCGAATTTTTTTTTAGCTGTCGGAAAACCTCATGCAACAAATGGAAATGCCACACAGGCAGAAGCTGGCCCCTCCTAACCCATTTGACCTTCTTCCTGGAGAAAGTAGCACCCTAGAGTCTCTAGCTAAACTGCATAGACAATCAGTTATTACAGTTGCCAAAGCAGGTGTGATGGGAAGGGATTAACATATCTTCAAATCATTTACAGGCCTCACACTCTCTACAGCTTTTGACTAATAGGTTTTCAAATGTCACTAAAGGTAAATAGGTCAGAAAGTTACAACTCTAGTGCATGGTGTGATAAACAGGTGTAGGTGACCCCAACGATGTGGCGATGTCATTAGTGTATACACTTGCTCTTCAGTGTCAGTGGCCATTACAGTTTCTAAAAGGAGAATGCCATACATGGCAAATTAAAAATACTCAGGTGACACATATTATCTCTCTAGTTTTTCTAAAATGTTAAATGAAAAGAACATTTTATTTTATTACCTTTTCTCTAATTTGGTATTTGTCCCATTCCAAATTAAAAGTGTTATGTTATTCTATTTGTGGTAGAATTAGTAAAAAATATCACATTACATTCAATATATGTTTATATTTCATTTATGGATCCATTTTTCTTGTGCAAAGATGACTGGAGGGCAACACTGAAAATTAAGAGGCCCATGATTCCTGATGCAGATGTTCCCTTAAATACTTCAAGTTTGGCCTAATTGCTACTTAAGAGTTTTGGAAACACAAGTTCTAAATAAAGTGAAAATTTAACGTTTGAAATTCTTCTTCTGGGATATTTATTTGTCAGTTACCCAAGCATACTTGCTTTAGAGAATTATTTGGTTTAATGAATGTATGAATGTATGATGAAATCTGAGATCAAATAAAACTCTTTATTTCTTTAACTCTTGTACCAAAACCTGGTCTTGATTTATAATATTTAATTATATATTATTGCCTACTCTTTCATTTTAGAAAACATTCCTAACAAGTTCTTTAAGTTATGCTTTCTTAAAAACACTAACATCATGTTTCAGAGTAATGTATAAAAACTAGCAAAATTATATTATGAGCACAAAATATTTATGGATATTATTGGGAGGTACTCAGAAATTAATAATATTCAAATAATCTCTAAAATTAATGCTTTTATATTTACTATTGTTACACATCTACCTATAATATAGGTGTACATGGAGAAATTAATTAATAAGGAGAAATCAGGTTTCAGATTTTTCTGTCTAAGGAAAAAATAATTTTGATTGTGAAGCCAAACACTTTTCTTTTTTTTCTTTTTACTGAATTCAAATAGTAACTACAAGGAATCAGTATGTTACTGACATTGCTGCTGAACAGCTGTCTTATGTTATCAGGAGACTTGTACCTTTCACTGAGCACATGATTGGTGTATCTGCTTTCACCATCATGGGAGAAGGACCACCAACAGTTCTCAATGTTAGGACACGTGAACAAGGTAAGGATGTATTTCCTTTGAAACAATTACCTGCAAATATTTCTGTTGTACACTGTGATACTTTATCTTTTCATTCATATGTTCATTCTTCTTTTTAAGTGCCAAGCTCCATTAAAATTATAAACTATAAAAATGTTAGTTCTTCATCTATTTTGTTATATTGGGATACTCCAGAATATCCCAATGGAAAGATAACTCACTATACGATTTATGCAATGGAACTGGATACCAATAGAGCATTCCAGATAACTACTATAGATAACAACTTTCTCATAACAGGTAGAAAACAACGTTTTTTTGTTTGTTTGTTTGTTTTTTTGATTGTTGTTACTGTTTGTTTTACATTTCTATTCTGATGGAAAATATTCATCTCCACGTGCCTTAAATACTACAGAACACATGCTATGTCATTTTATATTTTGTTGTTTTGTGCCGCCATGAATATCTTTTTAAAATGCTTGCATACATAACTTGATTAAATGTGTGTTACTTTAACTATATTTACCCACAGATAAGTAGAAAGTATCAGATACTTCATAGAAACTTACTTAACTCAAGGAATATTATATATGGTAAATCAAGATAACTCATTATTGAAGAGTAGAATGAATGAATGTAAACATCAGCTGAAGTAATTCAGCTGACATCGTATTTGTGCCAAGTTAACTCTACCCCCTGCAGTCTGCCAAAAAGTTATTTTTCACCTTTAAATTATTGCCTTAATATTTTAGGAAAGAACTTGAAATCACCAACATGGAAAGTCCTATAAGCCCAAGAATTTCGGGAGACTGCAATTATTTGGAAGCTGATATAGATATCTAGTACCTCAAATAAATTATTCTCACTGGCCTTATATTAAATGACACTGATCTCAAGAACATTATTTTAAGGACAGTAAACAGTCTGTCTATTGTCCTTATAGGGTTAAAGAAATACACAAAATACAAAATGAGAGTGGCAGCCTCAACCCATGTTGGAGAAAGTTCTTTGTCTGAAGAAAATGACATATTTGTGATAACTCCTGAAGATGGTAAGAATATCAGTTACAGTTTTAATTTTTTTAAAAAAGTGGCTGTACATGCTCACTGCTTTAATTCATGCCATCTCTAGGGTCTAAAGCAACAAGCATGAATAAAAATATAGGTACTGGGCTGGGTGTGGTGGCTCATGCCTGTAATCTCAGCACTGTGGGAGGCTGAGCTGGGCAGATCACCTGAGATCAGGAGTTCAAGACTAGCCTGGCGCACATGGTAAAACTATCTCTACAAAAATATGAAAATTATCCAGGCTTAATGTCATGTGCCTGTAATCCCAGCTATTTGGGAGGCTGAGTATATATATACATATGTATTGAAAATGTTCTTTTCTTCCCCCAGAACCAGAATCATCACCTCAAGATGTAGAAGTAATTGATGTTACCGCAAATGAAATAACGTTGAAGTGGTCACCGCCTGAAAAGCCCAATGGAATCATTATTGCTTATGAGGTGCTATATAAAAATATAGATACTTTATATATGAAGAACACATCAACAACAGACATAATTTTAAGAAACTTAAGACCTTACACCCTCTATAACATTTCTGTAAGGTCTTATACCAGATTTGGTCATGGCAGTCAGTTGTCTTCTTTACTCTCTGTAAGGACTTCAGAGACTGGTGAGTTTTTGTTTTGCTTTGTTTGTTTAATAGTACATAGTGATATAGTAAGCATAGCTGACAATTGCCATCTTGTATACATAACCTAAAATCCCTCATTATTTTATTTTGTATAATCCAGAAATTAATTTTCTTTTTCTGGCAAAAGTGCAGGTAAAGGTTATTGTACAAATTTTTAAAGTCTGATTTATATAAGGGAATGCCTAATTAAAATCTGTGAATTTTCAAATGAAAAGACCTTGAGAAACCAAGGATTCTTTCAATGTACCTATAAATTTTAGGTTGAAGGGCTACTTGCTTTCAAATGAGGTAAAAGCAGAGACATAGATTCTTAGATTCTAATGAGGTATCTATATAGATAGTGGTGCAGAGTGAGAGCCCAAAAATGGCATGCCTGGAGAAGACGTGTGGAGGAGACAGCATTTGGCCTGGATCTTAATGAGGATGGTGGAATGGGCAGAAGGATGTTATAGAGCAGGGGTCCCCAACCTTTTTGGCACTGGGGACAAGTTTCATGGAAGACAGTTTTTCCCTGGACTGGGGAGAGAAGGGGGATGGTTTTGGGATGATTCAAGTATATTACATTTATTGTGCACTCTGTTTCTATTGTTATTACATTGTACTATATAATGAAATACAACTCACCGTAATGTAGAATCAGTGGGAGCCCTGAGCTTGTTTTCCTGCAACTAGATGGTCCTGTCTGGGAGGTAATGGGAGACAATCACAGATCAGCCAGCATTAAATTCTCATAAGAAGCATACAACCTAGATCCCTTGCATGGGCAACTCACAATAGGATTTGCATTCCTATGAAAATCTAATGTCGACACTCATCTGACAGGGAAAGAGCTCAGGCAGTAATGTAAGCGATAGGTAGTGACTGTAAATACAGAAGCTTTATGCCACTCAACTCCTGCTGTGTGGCACAGTTCCTAACAGGACACTGGCTGGTACTAGTCAGTGGCCCTGGGACTGGGGACCCCTGTTATAGAGGTTGCTGGATGGGTTGGGAGAGGATATCCCATCTAAAGGAAATAATACAAGCAAGGAATTACTCGTGTTTTAGTTTCAGTGAAACTAGAGTAAGACAGTTTGTCTGATCATCTTATTTTATTGTTTATATTGTGTTACAATTATATATAGGTAGCATAACTATTAGGCCAATTCTACAATGTATTTTGAGAATTGATAACTAAATGTAAAGTTAACATTTTATTTGTACATTTAAAAGAATAAATATTTACTGACTAGCTACTGGTGGAACCACATGAAATTACCATTTTTATAGGTCACAAATGGCCAAATATCAGCAATTTCATATGGTTCAGTCAGATATTATATTTGAATGTCTGTCTTGACCTTGAGGATCTAGAAATCTAGTAAAGTAGCTTACTTTTGGAAGAAAGTATCCTGTTGAGACTATTCACAGAAATGAATACCATGAGTTGATGTAAAAGAACCCATAGATAATGGCAATAATTGAAGCTGCAGGAAGAAGAAAGTAATTTTACATGATCAAGAGTCTTAAAATGACACTTAATTGATATTAAAACATATATTGCCATGTTTCCTTGTTTTTATAGGTATTGTACCTAAAATAAGCATTTTTGAGAAAAACGCCTGCTCTTTAATGACTCAGGTTTATTTTGCAGCGGGTCAAAGAAATGAAACATGAATATTTTCAGCACCTATTAAGCGTCATGGGCTCTGCTAATGGGTTTCACACAAACTGCCTTTTTAAAATTCTAAACCAAAGCAGTACAACATTGGTGTCTTCACAGAAAACTGAGTCTAATGAAAAACTGAGTGTTTGAGACGTTCATTCATTCAAAAAATATGCCAGGCTCTACTGGGGATAAGTAATGTAGAAGAAAAGGAGGATTTCCTTTCCTCCTTAAGTTTTATTAGTTGGTGGGTGTTTAATTGCCTAATGTCACCAGCTGGAAAGTGATGAGCTGGAATTAGAATCCAAACCTGTCTGACTGTAAAATCCATTTTCCTTTCACAGTACATGCTGTTTTGGAAGTAATCAATAAAGCTGGTAAATTGTAAACTATATCTAAGATCTTTCTATTCATTGTTATAGTGATATTTTGTTGTTAGGCTTCTGCCCAGCATGGGAAGGAAAGTAATAACTTTGAAAGATTCTATTGTGATATGAAAGAATAGCCATTTTTATGAATGCTTATCAAGTATTTTGTTTAACTGGCCACAGCATTGAGAACACCCTATTTTAATAATGAATGATAAAGGATTTTTTTTTTTGCTTTCTGATTATTACATTTGTGTAATTTTTTACTTGGTATTGAAAATGTAATCTTGGTTTCTGTTGTATTATCTGTTTGTATGAGTTTAATTCCAAGGAAGGGACCATCAGCTTTAAGTGAATATAAATTTTTAGATTTAGTTTAAAATGCAAATTTTAATTTTGGAAAGTATCTTAGAAAACATGCAGAACCCTTTACTTTTTAGGTGAGGAGACCTAGGACTTTTTGGGTAAAAGGACTGATAAATCATAGGACATGAGAAATAAAGTTGGGCTATAGACCTTTTGACCCCCATTATGAGTCTCATTTAATAGGCTCCTGAGATGGCTAAAAAAGTAAAAAAAAAAAAAGGGAAACTAACTTATTCCATGGTTCCCTAGCCAGGCCTAACAATAAGAGAATAGGGTTTAGGGTTGGGCGCAGTGGCTCATGCCTGTAATGCCAGCACTTTGGGAGGCTAAGGCAGGTAGATCATGAGGTCGGGAGTTCAAGACCAGCCTGGCCAAGATGGTGAAACCTTGTCTCTCAAAAATACAAAAAAATTAGGGGGACGTGGTGGCAGGTGCCTGTAATCCCAGTTACTTGGGAGACTGGGGCAGTGAATTGATTGAAGCTGGGAGGTAGAGGTTGCAGTGAGCCTAGATTGCGCCACTGCACGCCAGCCTGGCAACAGAGCGAGATTCTGTCTTGAGGGGGGAAAATAGTATAGGGTTTAATGCCCATCTTCCTAATATCTGGCTTTCTGCCCTAAGTTAGGATAGTCTCAAGGTCTGTGCACTTTCCACCTGGATGAAAATGGAAGACAGTGGAATCTACATTAGTGAGTTTTCCTAGATTGTTTGTTACTATTAAACCAACAACTTTAGCTCCTTTGGCAAAAGAGGAAACTAGAATGTTAAATTGGTTCTCAAGTGTTATTTGAAGCAAGATGAGCTCAAGAACAACTATTTTTCTGTGTTTAGGCTCAAAATAATCTTATTAAATATAGTGATTATAACTTCTATTCATGTAAAAAAAATATGGACCCACTCTTCAATATGGTTTCATGAGAAATTGAGTGATATGTTAACTCAGTGATGTGTTAATGTTACTAATTACAAATAGGAGTAAATTATTTGGTTAAATGCCTTACTTTTTTAAGAGAGAGTTTGCTAATGCTTGGAAGTAAACCACTCTTGTGCTCAAGCAGGAAAGATCAATATAAGATTGATTCTGTGTGTGTGTGTGTATCTCTGCGTGTGTTTTAAACTTAGAATGTGCAGTTTTCTAACAAACTTAAAATTCATTTTTATTTTCTCATACTTAGGGTGCAATAATCATAAATACAACTTTGAGCGTTTCCCATACAAATTACTTTTTTGATGATGTATACATATTCCCTTTCCTTTTTAAGACATAACTGTCTTTACAGTAAGCCTTTAACACTTTGTCTGATTCAGTGCAACAACCATGAGTGAATAATAACTTAGATGTTGACCAAAATTCTGTGTAGAACCCCATAAATTTATTTGTATTAATGAATAACATTTTAAAATGTGTCTGCATACATTAAAGCTGTATATGCCAAACAATAGGCTTTTGCACATTCAAGGTAACTTCCCTTTTTACTATCATCATGGACTATGTATTTTTTTTTGTTTTAGAATTTTAATAGGTTCAGCTTATTCCAACTAATTATAATCTCAGTTGTCTATAAAATATTTCTACAATTGAGGTACACTCTATGCCATTTCAGGAAATTCTAATTGCATCATCACTCTTCAAAATCAGTAAGTCATTGAGTCTGTCTTGCTTTATCTACCTGATCATCCAGCAATAGTTATTCCCTAAGGTAAATGTATAAAAATGCAAAGGATATCAGCCTTGAGTGAGGAATGCATATTTACGCACTGACTACTGGTGGTAGGCAGACAACTCCACAGGGAAAACTTAAATCTAATGGGAAATTTTCAAACTCAGAAATTACATTGAGCTATAATGTTCAAGCATAGCCTCACGAATTCTCCTTTTGTAATTAAAGAGTTTTTCAACTCAATCTTATATCTGTTCCTTACCTTTGAGTTTCTTTCTTGTTTTTAATATACTCTGCATTATATTAAGTATATTTATTCATTCACTGAACAGATTTTATGGATTCCATATCATGTTCTACCACTGCACTAGATAGTATAGCTATAGCAGTAAACAAGACACAATCAATCTCTACCTAGTGAATTGTCTAGTGAAAGTTCACACTAGACAACTAGAAAATTAGAAATTAGAAAATAAACCAGTAAACAAATTTGTGATTTTTGGTAGTTGTAAGCTCTACTAAGTGAAAAATATCAAGGATAGAAGAGAGAAAGTTAGAGTAGTAGTGAGTGGGCTATTTGATATGGAGAACTGAGGAAAAGCCACACTGAGAGGTTATATTTGCCCAGAGATATTAATGAGGTACAGGATTAAATAAGATGAGAATAAGGATGAAAAGTGTTCCAGAGGAAGAATAGCAATTGCCAACTTCTTGTGCAGGAAAAAAACTGTGAAGTTGGGGCAGAGCAGGGCATTTTTGTCACTTGAACAGTGTGAGTTGGGGTAGAGAATTTGCAGATGAGGAGAGAGCAGAGGTGGATCATGAGATTCTTGGGTGCCATTCTAGGAACTTTGAAGTTTTAATTTTAATGAGGAGCTTTTGGAGAGTTATGAAATAGGAACATTATATGATTTACAATTTTAGAAGATTGCTGCCGAATATGTTGGATGTTGAAGTAAAGAGAACAATCAAGATAAACTACTAGATTTTTGGTCTGAGCTTCTGGGCAAGTGGTGGTGCCATTTACTTAAATGGGGAATTTCAGGTAAGGGGGCAATGTGGAGAACATCCAGGAGTTCTGTTTGGAATGTATTTGAAATATCCAAGTACCGTTATGAAGGCAATTAAATAAATATGTTTAAAGCTCAGGGAAAAGATCCAGAGCTGAATTTATAATTTGGAGCCTCACCATGTCTTTGGTATTCAGTCAAGGAATGAGGATAAAGTCACATCACTGGACAATAGGTGGATATGTTAAGAAGCTTACAGCTATGTCTTGGGTAATATCATACATAGACTTTGAGAAGAAGAACCCATCAAGGACAAAGCAAAGTCACCGGATGTAAAAGGAAAATTGTAATGTTTTCAAAGCTAAGTGAATAAAGATTTTCAAATAGAAGCAATTTATTCCCTATGTCGAATGCTACTGAAAAGTAAAGTAAGATGGGACATACAATTGATTAGTGCTTTAGCAAGAATGAAGATCACTGGTGACTTTACAGAAGTAGGTTTAACAGAAAAAAATGGAGAAAAATGATGTGAAATTAATAGAGTATGAAGGCAATACAATTGCAGAAAACGAGGAATGGCAAATTTTGAGGAATTTTGATATGAAGTTGAGAGTAGACTTGAGTAATAGCTGAAGGAGCAAGTGCCATCAAAAGAAGACTTTATAAAAATCATAATGTATATTACAGTGTATGTGTGTTCACATGTATCGCTGACTAACTTTAAGTATAAATTCTCTGAATAGGCAGAAGGTATAAAATCCAGTGCAGACCTGGAAGGATAGAGCTTGGAAAGGAAGAAAGAGGGAAGGCATTTTAAAAAAATTTAAGGTTGAATGATAATGTAGTTCTTTTCTCAGTGTTTTTATTTTTGCAATGTAATGAGAAGCAAGTTTATTAGCTTCAAATAAAGAGCGGGAGGGCATATCGGAGTATGTGAAAAGAGAAGATGATGGAAACACACTTTAAAGAGTGGCAGACTGAATTAAATAAAAACATTGGCTATCAGGAAATGAGAAGGATCCATTTGAGATTTGAGATTATAAATTTAAGTGGGACCAGTTAACATGGAATGGTGTTTTATTCAGCTATTACACTGGGTATGTGAAGCCAGCAGAGTTTTGTTTAACTCCGATTGTAATTTTGCCAGGAAAGTTAAATAGAAACAATAGGAATTGATGGATACTGTTAGGCGGTGATTACAGTGACTGTGGAGTCTAGTCTGAGTATGTAGGGAAATGAAGACATAAGAGAGGTGATGCACAGTGAAGATTTGATGAGGGTCAAAGAATTGTTGGATTCAAAGTACAAGGGCCTGTAAGCTGGAAAAATAGGAGTTGGTTGTCAAAGAGAGGAATAATGGCAGTTATTGATAATGACGAAGGCTTAGGTGTTGCCATGAAAGCCAGTGAAATAAGGTGGGGTAAAGTAAGGTTGGAGAAAAGATTATTGGAATTATAGAGATAAAAGAATATAGAGTCCAGGGAACTGGATAGATCATTTGCATGGAACTTGACATTTCTGAGGGGTAGGGAAGAAGTCAGTCATCAAAGTGTTAGATAGCATCTTTAAGATGTTCAGAGAAGTGACACAGTTATTACCAGTTGTCTGTCTTAAAGAGGGGTAGCACGTGATGGAATTTAATGGAATGGGACTTCAAAGGATCTGTGGTTCTTGAGGAAGAAAAAAGGAGTAAGAAATGCAACTATCCAACTCCTAGGCCCTATGGTTAGTGGGATTATGGGAGAAAAACAAACATGATACCCAAGAAGGCTAAACTGTAGTATATTCATCAGCAGGTCCAAGATGTCACTTAAAGCCAGAAAGTTAAGAAAGCATTCAGGGTAGTTGTTGAGGATTTTTTTCAATGTAATAGGTTGGCCTGGGAAAACACTAGAGAAGATATAGGGTGTTTAGGATAGAAAGGATAGTGGAATTATATTGCTACATCAAAGTATGCGTTGAATTGCAATCCTCTCAAAGTTTTAAAAATATGAATATTCTTCACTTAGTTTTTCCTATTAAGTATGCCTTGGCACAATAACCCAATAACTGGTAACAATCAAGGGGAGGGACACTATGTCTACACTTTTAAGGCCTCTGAATTTTATTTCTCTACTAAAGTTATTAGTAGTAGTTTTTATATCCATTCCATTTAGAATATTAATTTAAAAAGTTTAATTTCTTTCATTTGAAATAAAAGAGTCTTAAAACAGGACTCTTGAATGACAATAATATTTACATATTTAGTTTATATTGTTTGACACTCAAGTTAATTATTTATGTTATTGTTCTATGTGCTCAATTTTTAAACCATTACCTTGACTACTCTGATCTTTCATCTGTGGTAAATAGTTTTCTATGTAAAGTGCATTGTCTACACTTTCATTTATTTAGGGTGTGTTGATGGCATTATCCCTCAGTTTTTTTTATTGTCTGAATATTTTTGGTTTGCTACCATTATTTTTCTGGGTATGGAATTCCAGTTGTTTTTGAGTTGATGTTGATTGTCAGCCTAACTGTCATTCCTATGTAGATGATTTGTTTTCTTTCTGGTACTGTCAAGATAGTTTCTTCTTTGGTATTCTGTATTTTCACAATGATATATCTAAATATGGTTTAACAAAATTTCTGCTTGGGATTTACTGAAATTCTTTGATTTGATGTTTGATATCTTTGAATAATTTTGATGAGCCTCAGTGATTATCTCTTTAAGTATTTCTTCGTTTTCTCTGTTATTTTAGACCCCCTTCCAGATAGATATCATCTATCAACTTCCATTTTATCTTTTTCATAACTGTCTTCTTTGAGCTGCATTCTTGATAATTTCTTCAATACTATCATCATTTTCACTAAAGTTCTCTTCTTCTCTATCTAATCTTCTCTTTAATACCTCAAGATAATTTTAATTTTATTATTAGTTATTTTCTTCTGTTCTAGAAGGTCTATCTTGTTCTCTTTAAAACTTGCTTGGTTATTTAATATTATTTACCATTATTTAAATAATTATTTGTCCATATTTTAAAGTATGTTTGATTTCTTGAAACATATTAAACATTTCTATGTTAATATCTGGATTCTCAAAATCTGACTACTATGTATGTGTGTGTTTGTTTTTTTTTTCCTTTTCTTTGCTGACTTTCACTACTGATATCTGATTTGCTTGTATGTTTAGTTATTTTATCAGTGAGCTCATATTCTTTGAAACTTTAGCTGTGAGAAATTTATGTAGTTTATGTTGAAGTTGAGTTCCTCCAGTAAGGATTTATATTTATTTCTTCTAGTTGCTTAAGAGTAATAGCAGCTCAGGACTACAGTTTTATTTTAACTTAAATTCTGAAGTGGAGGTTTCTCCAGGGTATGTATAGGTATCATGGATTTAGTCCACATATGCTCATGGGGATAGGCTTATAATTCCAAAACAGCATAATTTTTATTTCTTTTCTACCTCTCCGCCTAGAGGAGTGACAAGACAGAGAGAGAAAAGTTTCCTTTCTGTCCTCTCTGCATGGTGAGTTTATTTCTCTCTCCCCATTCCCTAAGAATGAATGCACCACATTGCACAAGACCAGGAGTTACCACTCACATAGACTTCTATGGCACATACAGAAGAATCTAAAGTATCCCCTAGATTGTTCAATATAATAACCCTGGTTAAAGTTGCATTCTTTTGGGGTTTCAGGTCTTTCTGCAGGGATATATCGCTCATCCTTCAGCTGGCCCCAGGGGTTTATAGTCTTTCTCTGGCACACTACACAGATGTTACTGTACAAATGCAAAGGCCCCAGGATTAACCAATCTACTACAAGGCAAAACTGGCTTTAGTACCAGCTTCCTTCTCACTATTTCTGTCTTACATTTTGTTTGCATGTTTGTTTTGCTGTTGACTTTTTCTGGCTAGCCATCACTGAATTAGAACTTTCTTGTCAGCACCTCAATTTCTTAAAGAAAATTTATTTTAATATTATACAGAGTTTTCATTATTTTAAGTAAGATATTCACTCAGTTTAGGGTATCTGTTCCAATATTTTACCAGAATTAGAATCTCTTATATAGTTTTGTACTCAGATATACATAGAAAACTATTTTACACATAATGTATTCAATATAAAAATGTTGTTAGGTACAGAAAAGTAGTGTTTTAGTTAATGATACCCCATATTCCTGGGAGTCGGTTTTGCTGCCAGGTCATAATAGGCAACCTCACATCTAGTAGGGGCTCCTTGCCTTGTCATAGACCTTATTGTCAACCAACACTAACCTACTGATCTTTTTTCATATTATTATTAATGAGGGGCAAAATAAAGTTTTAAGTGTTCTAAAATTCTCTTTCTTGCATTTGTGTGTTCTGCAGTGCAAGATAGGTTCATATGGTCCCAAGTATTTTAGTAAACATATCATCTTATTTATTCTGCAGAATCATAGTAGCATTTTCTTTTGAATGACAATGTTTCTTATACAGCTGTAAGTACTATAATTTATCTATACCTTATTCCATTTAGGATGTTTATTACAATTATATTCCTGTGAATGTTCACATGTAAATAACCTAGTGTACTTCAGTGATAATTCCATAGATTTTTAGAATAAAATTGTTTTATGTATCTATGTTTTTGTTTCTTTCAGTGCCTGATAGTGCACCAGAAAATATCACTTACAAAAATATTTCTTCTGGAGAGATTGAGCTATCATTCCTTCCCCCAAGTAGTCCCAATGGAATCATACAAAAATATACAATTTATCTCAAGAGAAGTAATGGAAATGAAGAAAGAACTATAAATACAACCTCTTTAACCCAAAACATTAAAGGTAAAAGAACAAATCTAATATTGTATACTTGAATTTATCATAACAGAGTAGCCACAAATATTAGCTTAATGTTAATAGTTTGATATTATTTTCATGCAGGGTATTATAATTTTGTCTTTTTAGTTAAATAAACTAGGAGTTTATTGTAAGTCACATGAAAGAATATTGTAGGTCCATTCTTTTCCCCATTATCCTAAATCATTTTGTCTTCATGAATAGGAGCTACTATTGCCAAAGAATGACATTTTCACTTATTTTTTATTTTTGGAAGATTGTTGTGTTGAGAATCATTTCATAGTTTGCCTCTCGCATATTATTAAAGGATATTTTTAAGTTTTCAACTTACCTATTTTATTTCTATTTAGGACTGAAGAAATATACCCGATACATCATTGAGGTGTCTGCTAGTACACTCAAAGGTGAAGGAGTTCGGAGTGCGCCCATAAGTATACTGACTGAGGAAGATGGTAAATACAATAGTGGATATTGATATGCTTTGATTCTATAACATTTCAAGAAACATATATATAGAATGAAACAATGTAGAAACTTATCTAGCCATGGGTATCAGTTGTGTACCATGCCAGCATTATACAGAGATTTCATTGTCATCGTGTAAAAGAAGCTAGCAACGTCAGATTTACAATCAGTAAAATCAGGCAAAAATGTGTTTTATTTTTCTAAAGTCATCTGTCCTCTAGAAAAAAAAAAAAAGTCAATCATGTTTTTCCAAGGGAATTTTTAAGGCTAAAAATTTTGTTTGAATGATTTGAACATTAACTGATATATGTCATGACTGTGTTTTTAAACTTTTACATTTTTAAAAATAGCCATTACATGAGCTTTGAAGTAGATTATGTTTATGTCAGTGTTCAGCACTTTTTAAAATGATATTAAGGATTAACTTGTTAATGAGATCAGGCTATTGTACAGGTTTTCTGCTTAATTGGACAAGATGCTATTCCCCAATGTTAATAGCTTTTGTATTGAATATTTAAACATATCTTTCCCCAACCCCCAAAAAATCACCTTTACTACTGAGACCACTTTACATTGGTGTCTTACCAAATTAGGCATATACTATGCTAAGAAAATAATTTTTAAATGATATATTTGGGATTAGGATTTGCATTTTATGTTTTATACCTTGTATATTTTGAGAAAATTATTTTTTCTGTAAAAGAAATTCCTATTTCCATGAAGGGTAGGCCTGGAAATATCATAAATGTTCGTGGAGTTCCTTTCCTTTTCTCTTTCCCTTTCCTTTTTTCCCTTCCCCTTTCTCTTTCCTTTTCCTTCTTCCCCATCTTCAAGCTAGGCCACAGCCTGTGAATGTTAAGCATCTAGAATCATTCACCAGGGCAGAATGTACATTAGACGCTGCTAGGATGGGAGACTTTTCTCTGTGCTGTTCTCTTTCTATTCAAAATAATAAAGTCTTCAAATCCCTCCTCTCTCTTTGCAAAATAATAAAGTCTTCAAATACCTTCTCTCTCCATGTTTTTACCTCTACCAAGGAATTTTACCAGAAGATCTTGGCTAGGGTTCTTTGGCTTGCCCCAGTTTCTAAGTGTGATGCCTCTGTGGGTTAGTCTTCCTTAGTCATTGCATCTACTTACTATGATTGCTTTTAAACTTACCTGTCAAATTCCATCAAACTTACCTGTCCAAATTCTCATATTTTTCATAAATAGATTCTCTTTTCTCTTAAAGTGAAAATTTTCTTAATTTAAATCAATTCTTCCAAATGGCTCAATGATTAAAAGCTAGAAAAGAAGGTTAGTGTTCCTTTCTATCTTATATAATATCTAAGATGGTATGTAGTAAAAAATAGCAAGGCCTTTCTGAAAATAGTACCCATTTCTTTATAATTAGTCTAATCAAAAGTCCTAATGGTGAGAATTTGAGATCTTATGTGATGAAATCAGACCGGTAATGAACATACATTTTGAGCAGGCAGAGATTTTACCACTTAAGTCAACAATTTCAAGGCATGTTGTGCATCTGAATTACCAGGGTCTGTTAAAAATATGCTTCCTCAAGGTAGAGTTCCATCTAGATTCTTGGCCAAGTCATATAATTTCTAAGGAACAGGGTAAAGAACAAGACTCCCTTGTTGAAAAATTACAGAAAATTGAGAATGGATGAAGAACTGAGAAAATTTGTGTAACTGGGAATTAGGAACTCCTTGCCCTCATGAAGCTTGCAGTTAGTACAAGATACCTAAATTTAACAAATGTGTGGACAAATAATTTTTATGATTTTAATTACTGGTATAAAAGATCCCCCAAATTATTCACCAGGACAAAAGAAGGACCTAAGCTACTCTGGGGTATGAGGTCAAGCGTAGCTGTGGAAGTTATGTCAAAGCTGTGACCTGAAAATGAATAAAGAGGGAGGCTGAGAGACAGGAAAGATGAGGTCAGGCAGAGAAGTGAGAGATTTGTGAAGTTCATTCTCAGCTACCTTGAGATGCTCTGAGATGACAAATTCAATGCATTGCAAAAGCTCTAATTTTCCCAGTTTCAATTTTGTTAGATTATATTTTAGAATACATATGCCAAAATATTTTAGAATTCATGTGCCAAAATGATTACAACTTAGTCTGTTACAGTGAATGTGCAGTGATTTTTTTGTTTTTTAGGTAGACTTGTTAATTACATTTACTTAGTAGTAAAATGTTTTACATTTAAAAGAAAATATTCAGGGATCTACTGCAGGTTAGCTTTTAAAAACACCGAGCTTTATCTGATATTCCACGGAAGCATCTTAAAGCATATGATAAAGTAGAAATAGTTAGTTGCAACATATTAGTTTCTTAGTGCTATTTTTGATTGAAGTCCTTTTTGCAAACAATAAACAGATTTTACAAGGATGTTCGGAAAAATATTTATAGGATTTGCTTTGACAAATGAAAGAGAATTTTCACAGATAGTTTTTATCTTGGGAAACAGACATCTGTAATTGATGTATACATTCCTATGATAATCAATATTTGATAGCATTTTTATTGTAGTGCCAGTGAAAATAACAAAATGAAAATACCAAATAAAGCTGTTATTTTTGTTCCTTATAACTTGTCTCATAACCTTTTTCTGCTCAATAATTTTTTTTGGAAAATTATTGTTAGTAAAATAATGAAAACATGCACACATGGGAACACATACAATTATAGCTGAGATTATTCAGAGAATCAGAAAGAAATGGAAGAAATTCAGGTAGCATTCTGCCAAATTATTGGAAATAGTGATTTGTACGTGAACTGTATATCCGTTGACATTGTTTAAAGATGTAAACAAATTCTCAGAATTTCTATTTGCTACTATGAGTTCACATTCCATGCATGACTATAACAATGAATCAAATTTTAGTGTTTTACTTTTTTCATGTAAAAAATTGTATTCCATTATTCTAAGACATTACTGTGCTGTTACACAGCAGCTGAGAAATGCCATTCTAAGTATTTTACCTCAATGGAAATATGAAGTTGGCTAACTAGTTTGCAGTAATGTTTTTACTGCTTATTCAATGCAGAATAGCAAATATATTTGTACTTTATGCTATTACAGCAGAGTTACAAGTAGATTCCAAACTATTTTCTTATTTATGTGCTACATTGGTATTTCCTTTGTAAACCATTTAATTTTGAAGACTCAGTGAACAAAGTTTGATATTATTTTACTTTTTAATGACACAACGGAGATTGAGGAATGTAGTTTTCATTTGTGAGGTCAGTCATTTTAACTGCTTTCCCAATGTTATGCTTATCACTTTCCCAACTTCTTAGATGTGTGATTTTTTCCCACCTCTTTTTATTGTCTGGGGACCTCTTTTACTGTATATTTATTCACCCCAATAAAGTTTTTATTTTTATTAGAGGATGACAGTTGACCAAGATGTACTTGAACAGTAGGTAAGTCACTGTGACATACTCCTTGTTCTACTTTCTCATGGAATATTTTTTTCCACTGAATCACAGAAACAGATGTTCTAACACCACCATGCAAAATCTTCCTTTATCATCTCATTTTGAAAGTAAACATTCTCTTGTGCTTCTGGAGAAAAGCACTGAACCTAATTCCTTTACGAGAAAGTTTATAATAAAAACTGTTTGTATTTCCATGTTAACTTTTTCTTACATATGTTTAATAAAATGCATTATTCTATACCCTAACTTTTCAGCTCCTGATTCTCCCCCTCAAGACTTCTCTGTAAAACAGTTGTCTGGTGTCACGGTGAAGTTGTCATGGCAACCACCTCTGGAGCCAAATGGAATTATCCTTTATTACACAGTTTATGTCTGGTAATAATTTTTTTTGGAAATAGTTCTGAGAACAGATATTAATCTGTAACATAATAGGAATGTAGTTTTTAAATTTCAGAATGTGGTGCTACATTAGGAACCTGATTGTTAATAGGCTAGTAATATGTTTTTATTAAGAAACAAGTTTTTCCCATACTATGTAGTGGTTCAATCATGGTCAGATGAAATAATTTTGCAATTAAAAAATTATGTGTTATGCATAATTATACTAAATTTCCACTCTTAAAAGTCATTGACAAATCAGCTTGTATGAATGTAACCATACAGTTTTAAACTTCTGAAGTTTTACACAGTACTCTCATTTCACTGTCTTTTTAAGTGTCCCTTGAGCAGAGTAATTTTAAGAAGCATTTAAAATAGATACTTCTAAAGAAACCTGTTATTTAAAGTGAATTTTTCCTTGAAATGTAAACAATGTGTTTTGTTTCTAATCACCGTTACCCTGATAACCTGTTTATCCTTCAGTAGTAAAAAGATGAAATCTTACAGTGCATCTCATGTTAGTTAACATACCTATCTACTTCATGAGAGCTATGTGGACTGAAATCTTCACTTTGCTACAATGTAAATCCTCTTTAGAGATTTTCACCAATTAGGTAACACATTTTCTAGTGGATTTCATATAATCCACCTCAGAAAGTATAATTTACATAATATTTTATAAAAATGTAGCCATTTCCTTTTATATTTCTGAATTGGAAGGGCCAGCATTGAGGAAGAGGCTACGATGTTTTAAAGAAGTCTACTCTTCTTCTCTTTCTTAAATTAAGATTTTTTTTCACTAATTCCCCTTTAATCTCTTTGCATATTTCTCTTTAAGACTATACTTTTTGTGTTCTTCATTGCCTGATTCCCAGTCACTTTACCTAGTCATGATGAAACTGGGAGTGTCATGACTTTCAGTTAGTGAAAAGGAAGCAGTGGGAAGAAGGTAACCATTCATTTTCATTACCCTATTTATTTATTCACTCATTCATTCATTGAGCAATATTGATAGAGTACCTATATACTCATGAGCAAGACTTACATGAGACCCACATAATACCCTTGCACTCAAGAGTCTTGTATCTCCTACACTCCAAGGAGATAACTGGATTATGTACCCATAAACAAGCAAATAAGGAAACATCAGGGGAAGGAGGTCTACTTTCGATGGGATGCTTCGGGAAATTCTCTTTGAAGAAGTGGCATTGAGCTGTGATCCAGCTGACAAGAAAGAACTTCTTGCCATGTAAAAATCTGCAGGGCAGAACTTTCAAGAAGGAGGGAATATCAACTGCATAGGCTCTGTGGGGAAACACAACTTGTTACCTTAAAGACCAGAGAGGAGGTCAATGTTCCTGGGGATTAGAGAACCAGAGGAGGGGAACAGTAGGGGCAGAAGATAAAGTTCAGGAGTCAAGCCATGGTAAGGATTTTGTTTTCATTTTAATTATAATGGGAGTTCATAGATAATGTGAAGCACTTTAGATTCCCTATAGGGAATGAATTGTCAGTGACAAAAGTGTTAGCAGGGATACTAGGTTATTTTAATAGATTGAGAAAGAGATAATAGTGGCAATGGAGAGGAGGAGTGGGCAGCTTTGAGCTACATTTGGGAAGAAAAACTAACAGGACTTAATGATGGATTGGCTGTGTGGATAAGAAAAAGAGAGGAATCAAAGATGACTTCTAGATTTTTGAATCAAAGGTGATTACTACTGGATTTTGATGCCATTTACTGAGTTAGAAAAAAATTTAAATGAAACAGGTTAATTGAGAATGAAGATTTTTCTGGCTGAGATTTTCAGCACTGCATTATGAGAATAATTGTGTTCTATACAGTGATCATGCTTCCCTTGCTAGAGCTTCCTTGTATTTCTAGCATAATGCATAGCACACCTAGACAGAAACACATGTGGTTGGATAGCATTTTAAGAGATGCCATTTACCCAGTTTTTCTCTGTGTGTGTATGAACCCCCATGTCCATGGGAGCCTCCTATTCTAGGAACTTTTTTTTTAGCTATAACTTTAGTTCTCTATTTATAATTCCAAAATGTCTAAAGGTACCAGGATTCATTATGAATAAGCAATGACAATGTACATTACACCACCTCTTAAGAATATAGCATGGCTCAAATTTTGTATGCTGTAATTCTGATGTCTTATAGAACATGACCTTTTATTTTCTGTAACTGGTTCATTTTGCTTTTTGCAATGATGCTGGGGTTGATGAGAGCACTGAATTGAGGTAACCCATTCATTTCTCATTTCCTCTGGGTTTAATTCAGTCTCTTTTGGGTAAATATTCAATCAATTCAAAGTTTAACTCTTCAGTTGTACTTTTTCTTTCATCATTCAAAAAGTATCCTTATCTCTCATTTTCTGAGGTAGTCTGGGTACAGGGGAAGCCCAATGAAACTGGGGCGAGGGAATCTCAAATCTGTGATATTGAAACAGGAAAATCCCTTGTCTTGCTGGCAGAGGGCGTGTGATGGGGGTGTGGCTGACTTCTCTGGTGCCCTGAGGCTCACACCTCTAGGGGGAGCATGCAGACGGGCAGGTTGTGGGGCTCTGACCCCACGGCAGTGTCTAGGGGTGAATGTTTACAGTTGAAGCCCCAGTGGGGTGTGTTACAGGATGATGCTCTTTCAGTGTAGCCATCCTTAGGCAGCTTGTGTTAGCTCAATTAGACCCCCGCCTTATCGCAAGAACAGAGAGCTTTCTGTATCTCGGGGTGCCTTGCCTTTTGGAGTTCCAGAACAATTGGATCACACGTGGTCTTGGAGAATGAGTGCACGGTTTTATTAAGTGGAAGTAACTCTCAGCAGATGGGGAAGGCAGAAGGGAAATGGAGTGGGAAGATGGTTTTCCCTGGAATCGGGCCACTCAGCAGCGGGCTCTCTCCTCCGTCCTCCCCGGCCGAACTCGGTCTCTTTCCGCGGGCTGACGGCCTGCGGGCCTGCGGCGCCTGTCAGTGTGTGCTCTTATGTCGCTGTGTTTCTCTCGACGTCCAGCTGCTGTGCTGTGTCTTCCTCCGCCTACGTGTTCCCATCAACCTCCAGCCGCTTGTGTGTGTGCCCGCTAGGGTCTTGGGGTTTTTACAGGGACAGGATGGGGGCGCGGTGGGCCAGGGTGGTGTTGGGAAATGCAACATTTAGGCAGGAAAACTGAAATGCCTGTCCTCACTTAGGTCCGTGGGCACAGGCCTGGGGGTGGAGCCTTCGCCAATGACCGTCCTTCTCTACCCAGCACTTCCCTGCTCCCTCCCATGTCAATATTGTGAAACACCTCACCTGACCTTTTTTTGGAATCATTCTGGCACAAACTTGCAGTCACAGCTGCTAGCTTCAAGGTTCCTATTTTCTGTTTTATCCTTGGTCCAATCTAAGGATTATTCTGGTCCCCTGGTTCCCTTAGCATGTCTGTCTTGACCCTCAGGTAGCTAGATACTCCCATTTGATTTCTCGGCACCAATCTGCAGTGTGAAGGATTTGAGAAAAGTACTTCCACATCCTTCTCTAGCCCTGGATGATCTGCTGGAGGAGCCCTTATATCTTGCTGGAAACAAAGGTTTTCTAAATGGCTTGTTATGTTTATCTCCATCCTGAGTAAAAAACGTATTTTTTTACGTTGGGATTTCCCTCCCAAATCTATTCGGGTGTTTTCACCACTCAGACCTTACCCTAAGCTCTTGGGACACTCCACTGTGATAACTTTGCCCTTTTAGTTCTCTCACTCTTTCTGCGTAGTGCAAATTCTTTTCTTTTTTCTTTCCTTTTTTTGACTGATGGAAATTTCCTTCTCTCATGTAATCTCTCCTTTCTACACCCCGAGGGTCTTAATTTAATTGAAACAATTTAATTGTAAAACTCTGTGGTCTCAAATAATCCAGGATTGACTCTTGATGTGTAAATGGAATGTAAAAAACTTTTCCCTCACTAAAACTTGGCTTTTACACACACACACACACTCTCTCTCTCTCTCTCTCTGCTTTAAGATCTACTTTGTTCATTGCTGTATTTAGAACAGACTGTTACCTGACACATAATTGAAACTTAATATATGTTGACTAGATGAATGAAGAGTATGTTTTAAGTTAGAAACTGTATATCTATCTATCTATATAGATAGATAAAATACATATTATACATAAAAATATATATAATTTTTTTTTACTGATGGGTATATATGTTGTATATATTTTATATAATACATATAATATTTTAATGTATAATGTATAAACATTGTGTATTTTATATAAAAATAATATATAATATATAAATATTAAATATTATATATTACATATATTATTTTTATAATAAACATAAAATATAATATATAATATATAGTATATTATATATATCTAAAGTATAATATATATAAAAATATAAGAAAATATATAAAATATGTATTTATATATTATATATAAAATATATAACATATATAATAGAAATATATTTTTATAATTAACATAAAATATTATATATTATCAATTATCTATATATTAATTAATATATTAATATTTATATGTTAATATTAAAATATATGTAATATATTGTATATATTTTTATATAATATACAATATTTCATATATAGTATACATAATATTTTATGTATAATATGTACTATATATATATAACATATATATTGTTTTTATGAATATGTAAAATATATATTTACCTAATATTTTATGTATATATAAAACGCATATTACACATAAAACTATATATTTAATATATATCATATATAAAAGTATGTTATATATTATATTTAAAATATATCTAATATATAATATATAATTTATATATACTTTTATATATTATATATTTATTATATACTATACATATATACATTATATAATTATTATATATAATTATTATTATATATATGTATTTTTTCTCATTGCATTTCTGCCATAAGAATAATGATACTTTTTCAGACCTAAAAAACTCAGTGGAATACAATAAGATTACATAAAGATACAACAAAAAAGGAG